TGGAGCTCAGGAGACAGTGGCTCGGACGCTTGTGAGAATTCAGGGATGGAACCTCGGTGACAGCTGGGGGAATTTATTCACACTGTCAGGACACAGGCTTACACTTCGAATCAGTTCCAACTCTTTATTTTTAAATCCCCCAGCTGGCTAAAGACTTAGAAGGAAAGATGAGACAATCATTTGCGTCTTGTCCCAGATGGGCTGTCACTCAGAGGGTCCAGGAAAAGGCTACCAGGGCTGGGCTGGTATGCCGGTAGCTTTGCAACAGCTCCTTGGAAGCTGAGTGGCAGGAGGTGGTCTGATGTGCAGTCCGGGTAGCAGCAGCGACCCAGCCCCTATGACTTAGAAACATTTCTACAGGCAGAGAGAAGCTGTGATTGGTCCAGCTTGAGCCCAGAGGGGGCACTGGCCGCCTGCTGTGCACACCCTCTTCACTCCCACTGACCAAGCCTCGCCAAAGGGCAGACCCCAGGAGAGCACATGTCCTGCGTCTCTGGACAGAGGAATACAAGCCAAGGGTCCTGGCTGTAGTGGACGCTTAGTTTTAGATGCTCAGCATCGGAACGCCCTTCCTGGGTCTGGGGGGGTGGTCCCCCATGTTATGAAGCTGGCCCCGCCGCCACTCGAGGAGGAGGAAGTCTCAGATGCTGGCTTTTCCAACTTCCCTCTCAGCTGACAGCCCCGCCCCAGCTGATGGAACACACCTGCCGGAGTCTGACTTGACGGCTAGTGACTGTATGAAACCTACTCTGTTGACAGGTGGCAGCCTCTACATTTAAAATAGTTTCTGAAAGAGAGGAGGCGGTGGTCCTCGTGACATTGGTCAGCGTTGGGGGCATCTGTGGTGTAAGCTCCAGGGCGGGAGCCCGGTGACCTGGGGCCTTGTTCTTGGCTGGGGAGTCACCAAGTCTAGTGATCATGTGACTTATCCAATATCCTTTAAGAAACGTGTTTCCTACCCAGCTAGAGTTGCTGTCTGTAATTTGCAACTAACACAGTGGTGAAGGGTGACACAGAGGCCGTGAGAGAATAGAGCCAGTGACTATGAATTCTCCTTGGCAAGTCTATCCTGGGCTTGTATCTGGAAAGGTCTTTCAAAAAGGAAAACTGGAAGGCGTAACCATTGCCCCGTGCCCATTTCAGAAGTAGCTCGGGGCCACACCCTTAGCCCACCAGCTGGAGGCATCTGGCGGCCACCCCGCTGAGACAGGTCAAAAACACTCAGGATTGAGGGCCGACGCATGGCTGTCCTGGTGGAGCGGTGCTAGGAATGCTTCCATGGGACGCTGGACAACGTGCCTCCTTAGAGGTGTTCTCAAACGACAGGCGTTTCTTCATCCCGCCACGCTGGTCCGTATTCTGTGGGCAGAGTGACGCCTGGGTAATACTGTAATAGGCCCCCAGTAAGTGCCTTCTTGAGCAATTCATTTTTCAGAATAGCTGACATACTGCAACAAGACAGAGGGAGGAATCACGTGACTTCAGAGTTCAATGGTTACGATGATGCCAGTCCTTCTAAGAAGGCATTTTTGCCAAAATTGCACATATGTTCCTTAAAAACATACACAGTTGTTTTCTGATGGAATTTTTCCCTCTCCCAAACTATCAAACACTGTGTGCATTGGGTTTGAGAATTAGTCTCTCTTGCGGTTTCAGGGGTCTTGTTCCTCAGAGAGTTCTCTTGGTAACTTAAGGATACGGCTTCTCCTAAATGGCTTTGAGGGAACAAGGGCACACTGGGCTCTAAGAAGGTGGCAGTGTGTCTTTACCTTCCCCTCACAAGCAGAGTTATCAGTGGCCAAGTCCGGGAGAACAGAAGGCATTCTGGGAACATGCGAAGTGCAGAGCTGTACAGAACAGATGGCAGGGACTTCAAAAGCATAAGAGTCACCTTGAAAGATGATGGCGCCAAGGGAGGGGGTGGGAGGCTTTTGTACCTTTTGACAAGGAAGCAGGGAAGACAAAAGCGATTTGCCAGACTCCCGCGCAAGTCAACAGAACTGAGAGATACTCTGCTGTAATTTACATCAAGGGAGGCCGAGCCACCTGTCTTCTTGTCCAGAAATAAATGGCATCCATCAACTGATGAACTTGTTTCTCTTGCCTCCTGATCTTCTGGTCTTTTTTCTTTCTTTTTTTACATAAGGAGCATTTATATCCTCTCTATCCAGGCAGCTATTGCGTAACGATCTCTCCTTTTATTCGCCGCACCTCAGGGGAGTTGCAGAGGCTCTGACCTCCGGACTGATGTCCACTGGGGAGATGCTGGCTTGACCGGACAGCCTCCCGGCTCCCCCAGCCCAGCCTGGGTTGCTACTGGGCATATCTGGCTTCCTGTGACTGGAATTCAAGTTGATGAGTTTTGTTACTCCTTAGCTGCAGAAAAGGGTTTACCAAGAAATGAAATGAAAATGCTCTGTGGCCCGGCACCCTCTTAAACAGAGCTCTCTTATTTCTGCACATCTGCCATACAATCATCATCAGTATTTTAACCCCAAGGCCCTGCAAAATCCAGAACTGCTTTCTATAACATTCAAGTTCTTCTTTTTTCCTATAAAATGTATGCATGTATTTATTTATTATTTTTGGCTCTGTGGGGTCTTCGTTGCTGCCCAGCCCCAAGGTGCCAGGGGCTCCTGGTATGGAAACCCGGGCCCATCCACAGAGGCCAGGATGGTGGCAGGACACGCCTCTCCCATCCCCCTCGAACATCTGTTCCTCTTCTTGGTGGTGTGGGCCTCAGCTGCTCGTGAAAGGGATCAAGCCTCAGAAGGCTGTTCTTCTTTGAAGCTGACAGCTTGGTGCCTGTGGAAATGTGGTACTATTTCAGGATTTCATTTCAAAGAGGTTTCAAAAGAGTGAATCGAAGGCTCGGTTGAATTGCTTATTATGGCTCTCCTGGCCGCCCGCGTCTCGGTTGTTGAGCCCAAACACAGCATCTGCGACTTTGCGCGTCATCCACAGGCAGGTGATCGTTCTAAATTAGCACCTGGCTCATTCTGGAGGGCTGTAACTCTTCTCGAGCCTTTGCCCAAGAAGCAACCGGGCCTTTAGCGGCTTGTACCTTTCTTACATTATCTGTGTTTGAAATGATCCACCAGGGAGTCTATCTGGTGAATGACATGAGTCTTGTTTATGTCAAGCATGTCTTAAAGACACCAGAAATAAAGGCCATGAAAACGCGACTATGAAACGTGGGTGGCTGTGACCCCCCTGGACCCGCCGAGGCAAATGAGAGCAAACTGGCTTCCAAGGGAAGACGGGGCACAAACAGGAAGGCTCCGGGCACTGCGGGGGGCTCGGGGCACGGCGCCAGGCCACCCACACTGTCTCCGGGATCTGCCATGCTGATGGCAGGGCTCTGGGCCGTCCCTACCTTCCCAGCCCAGCCCTCGTCCAGCTCCCTCACACCCCCCCCACCACGCTAAAGCCTGGTCATCTGTTCACACTGGCTTTCCTGCGCAGGCTGAGGGCCTTGAGCACCGAGTCACAGACAGAGCATCTCACACGTGCCGATGAATGACAGAAGGAACCATCTAGTAATCTGAGGAGAAAGGTTTGACATACCGACAGTAATAGGAAGGGGAGGGGATGTGGGAGTCCACTGGAGCAGAAATTGAGAGAGATTTTGGGCACTGTTCTTTTTTTTTTCTTTAGCGGTACACGGGCCTCTCACTGCTGTGGCCTCTCCCGTTGCGGAGCACCGGCTCCGGACCCGCAGGCTCAGCGGCCATGGCTCACGGGCCCAGCCGCTCCGCGGCACGTGGGATCTTCCCGGACCGGGGCACAAACCCGTGTCCCCTGCATCGGCAGGCGGACTCTCAACCACTGCGCCACCAGGGAAGCCCCTGGGCACTTTTCTTTATGTAACTACTCTGTACCTCAGCAAGGAAAATATTATGGTTTCAAACAAATATGAAGCCAAGGCACTGATGTCCCGTGTAGACAGCGCCTGTGCACCACCGAGCGGGTAAGTGAGCCAAGACTCGTGTTCCAGACTCTCTCCCCCAGGGGCAACTACAAAGTGTTTGGCTTGGACTGAAGCGAGGCTCTTTAGCAGGAACCCTCCCTGCCTTTCCTCTGCTTCAAGAATACTGGTCAGTGCCGCATCCTGACTCTGGGGGGCACTGGGCACCTTGCTGTCCTCTCAAAGCAGCCTGAGCATCGGCTTTCTCCACCTTCACGCAAACTTCCACGCAAAGATCCAATGGCCAAGTTTCCATTTCAGAGGCAGAGTCATCACCAATCTAAGCCGTCACCCTCAACCAGCCAGAGCGCACCACGAGGCCACCAGGTGACTGTCCTTCAGAGTCCATTATCCACAGAAACGGTTTTCCCTGTTGTGTGTCATGCCCACCCCCCCATCCCCGTAAGACACCTGGAGAGAAACTCCATCCATCAGGACCTTGGCAAGGAAAGACTGGCGAGGCCTTGCCCCATCAGGATTTGTCCTCACGCCTCTGCAAGCAAGGCCTCCAGCTACACCCCACCTGAGAGCCTTAAGGCAAAAGTGCTGCTGTGAGAAAGGCTTGAGGCCCCAGCCTGGCCCTGCCGCAGAGGGAAGCATTGAAGAGGGAGCACGGCACGCACTTCTGTGGCGTCTGGTGCTGCAGACTCAGCACGTGGCTCCCCCAGAACACGGTGGGCGTGCCGCTCCCTGCCGGCCGCCACCCCACGAGGGGGCGGGGGCACAGGCCTTCCAGAGGGACTCCCTGCCCATGCCAGCCCCAAAACAACAGTTGGCCCAGCTAGAAGAAGGGCTGGCTTCTCCTCTGCCTTGCTTCTTTTTGGTTAGATTCTGGAAGATGATGTGGGATATTTTCATAAGGCAGGAGAAATCCCTAACTCACAGGTGGCCAAGATAAAATCCTTGAAGACCATGAGCCAAAGTCAAGTGGGAGCAATTTTCTAAATGTTGGTGAAGGAGAACCGTCACGCAAAGGTAGCTGCCAGTAAGACAGCAACAAGCCAAGGAGGAAAGCAAGGCACGAGACAACCAAACCTCTGCACAATGAGTTGTTCTATTTGCTACACATTTTGACCCACAGACAGACTGTACCGTTAAGATGTGCCCCTGGTCAAGGTCCGCAGCTGCTGGAAGGATCTTTTCATCTGGAAGATGTATCACCAGCTCACTGAGCCTGTTCGGCAACTCTGCGAAAGCCAGTTTAAGCTGCCTTCTCACTTCACTCTGCACTCACAAGAGGAGACCAACTTCCGATACCTCCTCAGACTCCAGGAGACCAGATGCTGTGACAAACTTCCCAGCAAAATGAATGTAAGAAGATGATCCCAGGGCGCTCCTCGGGGGCGGGCACAGGATTCTGCGGCTTGGACGTATACTGCTTTCAGGTGTGTTACTGCCACCTCCTCCCTGCCAGGGCTGCTGATGGGAAATGCTTTTGTGACAGCACAGGGGATCTTGGGCTCAGAGCGCCGAGGCCCTACTGCATGTGGCAGCCTGAATTGGGCAGCAATTCCTGCAGGTGAGAAGCCACCGCCTTCGTTAGGTAGGTCATTGTCCCGTAAGCCCCGCTGGGAGCACTGTCGTAAAAGAAGTGGCAAATGCCCGTGGCTTGGTCCTTCTCCAGCGTGTCCGTGGCACCGATCGACATCTGCAGCAGGAAAGGGCAGAGGCAACACGTGAGCAGAGCTGGCGCTACCGGCCCAACGGGGGGACAGATGGCCTCTGCTCTGGGCACCGTGTCCCCACCCGCCCGAGTTGGCAGCACATCACTGATTCTAGGATGGGAGGACGGCTTCTTCTAGCTCGACTTTGGTGCAGGCTAAGTGGCTGGTTTACTTGGGGCCAGACATGTCGCGAGGCTGGTGCTGGCACTAGAACCTATGCTGAAATGGGCCTGTCCATCTCCAAAGGTCTTTAGATCTCCCAGTGGCCACTGTGCCATTTTCAAACCAAATGGTTGACATTTTCCCACCATCTGTGATGACATTATCTTTGTTCAAGAATATTTCCTGTTGGTCACAGGATCTCCAGCCTCGACAGAGATAAATGCCAGCCAAGCCGGCTGCACTGCCGCGTCCCCACCTTGGCTCTGGGCACACCCACCTGGTCCTGCAGGAACAGCTGGTTGGCCGTGTGCACGATCTGGTCCACATGGATGATGCCCCCAATGCTGTTCATCTCCGTGTCCGAGAGCAGCGTCAGCACCATGATGGCCTCCACCAGCAGCTGCCGGTACTCAGGCTGCGGCACTCGGTTCAGCACCGACTCAACGTGGACAGCAAACTTGATCTCCTGTGGGGTCATCTGCCAAAGGGACCAGCAGGGGGTCACGAGTGAAGCGAGCACAGACACAGTCCTGTCACCCACGCTGCCCACAGCACCCAGTGGCTCAGCGTAAACGCTGCCTCCTCTCCGGCCACTTTGCTACTTCTGCCCACAGGAATCCTCTGGGGCAGGAAGCTGAGAGCTCTGCCCTGGGCATCAGTCAGCCTGGTCCTAGCATTAGTCACCTATCCCGCTGGACTGCGACTTCCAGGGGCAGGGCCGTTTCTTATTTCTCTTTCTTCATTATTCCTTGTGGTGCACAGCATGGTGCCTTGGGTGGTGTAAAAACTAAAAGGTCAATTTTTTAAAAGAATGAAACCAGGGAAGACGACTGTTCCCTGCCGTGGGTCCCATAAGCATGGCGAGCAACTTTGCTCTTCTCTTAAGAGAGTTTTCAGAAACAAATCTAAAGATGTCGACAGTCCAGACATACTCTTTCTGAGGGGAAAGAGAAAAGATGATGCAACAAATGTGGGGAAAAAAACTTTGCAAAACTTGAGGGTTAAGTGTCTAGAAAGATCGGATCTACAAATGCCCTGTATGTAACAAGCTTGAAAGAAGGGCGAGTGGTCAGAGTCCAAGAAATAAAGCACTTAGTGAAAACTCACGGCGTTTGGGTTTTTCCCATCCTACCTCTCGCGTCGTCGAGGATGGGAGCACATAACCGTCGATGGACAGACCGTGACACTGGAGGCAGAACACGCATTTCACATTTCAGTCAGATTCCAGAACGTGATTAAAAACGGCGCGCACACGCTCAAGTCGCTCTGCCCTGGAAGCCAGCACGAGGACTGGCACACGCCAGACTGTCGGAGTTATTTTTAGAGGGCTTGTTCTCACTGCCCACAGGCTGTGTTTTTCGATGGAACCAGCAGGCATCGTTCAGATCTCACCCGAACAACGCCCCAGGGAGCTGCCGGGTCCTCCTCTGTGGGAGCTCCGAGTTTCACTTGGCAACCCGGCCCTGGCGGCTGAGAGGCCCCCTTTGGTGCCAGATAAAGGGAGATGTGCATGTTTCCTGCTGGCGAAGTGATACTTCTATGCCTTTGCAGGCATCTATTTTTGAGATTTCTATAATAAGCACCAATCACAAAAGACTAGAGCACATGCACGCACACGCACACCCGTGTATATAAATAACCAGCGCTGGCTCAATACAAAATGCTGCTTTTTCATAATAAAAGCATCTTGGTATGAAGCCGGTGGAAGCCCGGCCCCAGGAACAGTTCTGGGCTCACAGGCTGCCTCCTGACTCCCTGTGCCCTGGAGACAGCAGCTGCACCGCCTCCGTCCCAGGTGGGCTGAGGATGCAGCGGCAGCAAACGCTCCTTCCTCCTGACAAGAGGCCTCTTCGGGCCCTGCCCCCACGTGGGGACCGGAGTTCAGCTGTGAGGACAGGGACCCCTCTGACCTCTCCATGCCCAGCTCCACGAGGAGGACCTCACAGGGGACATAACGCAGCCGAAAGGGGCTGCAGTACGGGGTCTTAGGGATGCCTCTTCTCTCCTCGCCTCTTCTACTGTGAAATGAGCTAACAAAAGTAGTTTAGGGAAAAACTCGGTCCTGCCTGTGGTTCTTGGTTTGCACAGAAGCTTCTAATGGAGGCAGACAGTCCCTCTGGTGGGGCCCAGGGAGACACCGGGACGCTCTGAGGCTGATGAGGGAGCGAGACAGGAGGCGGGGGCAGGGACCAAGGGGCGTGGCTCCTGCGGCTGTTCTGGGTCAGCCGGGTTACGGCGTTTCATCCAGAGCTTTCCCTGCCTTCTCTGGTTCTTGCCTACCTTCCGACTTTTCTGCGTTCCTAAATTACGTCAAAGGTGGCCCCCCACAACCTGGGCTGCCACCTTATCTATCTTGTTGGGTTTCCAGCCAGTGTTTCTCAACCAGTGGCAATTTGCCTCCCGGAGGACACTCGGCAATGTCTGGGGACATTTTGGTTGTCACACTGGGGGGGGGGGTGCTACCAGCATCTAGCGGGTAGAGACCAGGGATGTCGCTTAACATCCCACAATGCACAGGGCAGCCCCGGAAGTGAGAATTACCCAGCCCCGAATGTCAATGGTGCCGAGGGGGGAGAAACCCTGCTCTAGGCCGTGAGCTACCTAAGGTTGGGGCTTATGCGCCTGTTCTGCAGCCGCCTGCTACCTGTAGGTGCCAGCACGCCTCAGCACCAGTGCCTATGGAATGCAGCACAGTGGCCAAGCTCACCTTCTGAAGGATCTGCCACACCTTCTGGTAAAATCCCACGGGGACTCTGTTGATGGCCCCGTCCAGCCTTCTCCTGCGCAGCCACTGGCCCTGCTGCTCCCCCCAGCCGATGTGATGCCCACCTGAGTCTGACGATGACGTGCCCGTGGGTGAGGATGGGGTGCTGGACCTCTGCAAGACAGAAAAGGTGCGGCCTTCAGAAGCCTCACAGCCGGCACCCCCTGGCAGTGCTGGTCACCGAGAGGGCGGCTCCGTAAACCAGTCAACACCACCAGCTGGATTCACTCCTTCCTGCCCCGGTTCGTTTACTAAGCTCCTTCCGTGCACTCTTCCCAGCCCCCAAGAGGAAGTACAGCATAAGAAGCCCCTGACCCAGCGGAGAGGCCGAGCAGGTCAGGGGGTGGGCTCTGGGGGGGCTGCGAATCCCGACTCCACATCGGCTGCTCCAGTCTCTGACTTGCCGCGAGCACGCTCAGCCTCATCTGAGCAGTGGGGCACAGGTGCGCACCCCGAGTGCAGATGCGGGAAACCCTGGGAGCACGCCCGGCCGTGGGGTCGGCAGGCACTGCTGCTGGAGGGCTTGGGGAGGTCTCGGACCTGGAGGAGGTGACTCCTCGGGCGCCGCAGCCCACCGAGACCAACGCCACAGTGACCACTTTCCTCCTGTGGTGCCGCGGAGAGCGGTGGTCACTCCCCTGCAGTGCAGCTGCCACGAGAACACAACACAGCGCAGGGCAAGGCTCTGGAGCCCTGGAAGGAGGGAAGGCTGGAACCCACGTTTGTGGCGGGGCCTCAGGGGCTATGGTATTTCCACCTTCCTTTTCAATCGCTTCCTACTTTGCCTGTTCTCAGCACGGCACTTTATCCTAATTTGGGGCGATGACCACCTCCGAGCCAGGAGCCTTTGCTGAGGCAGGAGGGGTATCACCTCCTTCCCACCTCCTCCCCGAGGCTGGATTTATTCCGGCCTCCACGAGGGAAGCGCTGGGGCAGGGCCAGCAGTTTTGCTTCTGCCTCGGGAGCCACAGGCCCGCCCACGACTGCGGAGGCAGCTCTGAGAGGCTCCCAGTGGGGCCTGAGACCAGGCCTGAAAGCGGTTCCCTCAGCGGTGGCCTCCCTGCGGCAAAGCTCACACCTGCTTTCTTCCCGTGGATGGATTCTCACCCCTTGGCCTCTGGGTCGGGGAAGGGATAACCTTCATCCTTACACATTATCTCTGTTCTGGACTACCTGGCACTTTCGTTTCTCAGTGTGCAACGTCAAATTTAAAGGTTTAAAATGCAATCCCAATGTCAAGCAGGCCAGCAGGGCAGGGGTCTTCTTGGAGCGCATTGAGACTTCATCGGATGTTATTTTGAAAAGGCTGTTAGGCTGGGTTATTCCATTGGGCTCATTACTGCCATTTAAATACGGCAACAATTAGATACAAATAAAAGTAATTACAGCCACGCTCATCAATGACTCAGCTGGTTTTCTGCCTCTAGTTTCGCAAGGAGGATTCAGACTCGCCTCTGCAATGAGAACACTTCCTAGCCTTCCATCTCAGCTGCGGCCTCAAGCCAAGCGGGGGGGCATTCTGCGTACAAAGTGCCAATCAGCACGTGCTGGCAGTGGTTCACTCCCGTGACTCAACGGAAAGGCACATAACCACTGCCTCGAAAGTTCCAGAAGCTCCTGGGAATTGGTGAGAAAAGTGCTCCTCAGTCATACCCCACCGAGGAGCATAAGCAGAGAGCTCAAGATGGAAAAACAGAGCTCAGTTCCACAGGTTCTCGGCTTTCTTTCTAGCCTCTACTCATAATCATAGTCAAGTGGAAACACTTAAACCTGTTCACATCTTCGGAAGTGAGGGAGGTGGTGGGAGCACGAGAAGGGCAACGAGAGGATTCAGACACCATAAACGAGAAGGAGGTGGCGAAGGGGACAATGGCTGGGACACACTGTTTACCACAGACTTGGAGGAGTGTGCGCTGCCGGATGGGGCCTGGCTCACAGAAAAGAGCTACAAAACAAAGAGAGTCCACTCAGTCATGTGCAATGACACCAAAGGATGCACGCAGAGAGAAGGAACATAGAACAGCCTCAGAAACAGCCAAGGAAGGAAGAGGCAGAGGATGCGGGTGGCCACAAGTTCTCACTCACCCCCCCAGGCAGATGGCCTGCAGAGCAGCGGGCAGAGCTCTGGGCTCGCGCAATAGAGGTCCCGGGAGATGCCTTCTCTGAGTGCGGAGTGTTCCCATATCTAGTCAGGTGTGGAGGGTGCCCCATCAGGTTAGCACACGACTTATTTTCCAAACTCCCAGCCATGAAATGCTAATCTTTTATGTTAATTTTGGAAAGAGGATAATATACTTCTTTGATATAAGTGGCCAGATACAAAACTTGTGCTGGCTAACGGAATCTAAACCCAGCAAAGAAAAAAGGTGATCATTTTGTCCCCGTAATATGTAAGGACGGCACTAAATGGAGACGGAAGGAACCACCCATATTCAGCCACAGTCAGCGGCCATCGGGATGTAGGTAACAAGAGGGACAGTGCCACCTAGTGGTGGGCAAAGGAAGATGTTTGGAAAATCTGTTCCTTACTTGGAAAGAGCATAAATTCGAATGAGACAGCATGGACGTTTTTCCCTGGGACAACACAGAGAATCCGCGTGTCAGTATGTGACTCCTCTGAGCTCTCTCACAGAGACATTAAATCATTAGGAAAGGGGCTCTGATCTTCTGGATGGAGGAGGCAAAGGAAGTATGTCACAAGGGTGACATAAAAGAACAGTGTCCTTACATTTTCTTTTCCTTCCAGGGTTAAATTCCCCCAGGCAATCTAGGGACAGGAAGTAGCAGTATTCTTTCTACTGCTATAATCAATGACCACAATCTATTTGTCCCTATTTCTTCCCTTTTTTTGAACAGAAACTCCTGCGGAGGCAGAACCCGGGACCATCCCTTTCACATAGCCTCCTGTAAAATCCAAGTTTGATACATGGATTTGTTTAAAGGCGCAGGGCAAGGTCATTTCTCCTGCTTTCAAGTCCAGTGCTCTGCCTGTCCCCAGGGCTGCCTCCCACAGCCTGCAGAGTCCCCTCCACCCAAGCATGTTGGACGGGCAGAACCGTTCTCCACCCACTCAGACTCTCTGTACTCACAGCCTTGCTTTCCCCATTCAAGCCAGAAAGAACATGAAGCACAGTAAAGGAGGAAACAAGACAAAGATGTTTCACCTGTTCATCAGCACTAAATCGCCTAGTCATCTGAAAGTAAAAATACATCAGAAGATAAACAAAAACCAGTTTCAAATCAAGGATGCCTTACTACTTCTATCACCCTCTAGATTGTCCAAGGAAGTGTTGCTCCAGCTGCAGGGTGTGACCCTCAGTGCCTCACAGACTCAATCTACTGAGTCATCATTTGAAATGGAGAAGAAAATCCGAGTGTGTCTCTCACTGCAGGTCACAGTCAGAAGGAAAGAAACTATTTCCTACTGTAGATCACTGTCAAGTCCTACCACAGTAACCGGCACATTAGGACTGAAAGGCTGTTGACTTGCGGTCCTGTGGGATCAGTTGAGAAGGAACTTACTGTGAATTAAATAAAGGTGAGCACAAAAGAGACACCTGTGGATGGTGGAAAATAAAGGTGTCTCTGTTTCACCTGAAGGACACATTTGATGGAGAGATGATTCAGTTACCTTTTGCGCGACTCTACTTTTTAAATGGCTGTGATCCATTTGAATGACTAGTTCTCGGGCAACAGGCAAACAAGGGGAAGGGTATTTTCCAGAATGCTCGCATAACACCTTAACGTTAAGGATGAGCATGTGGTGGGTGCACGTGAGTGGCTCTGGGATGTCTGGGCACAGGGTGTGTTCAGATTCCAGGACAGAAGGGATGGCACGTCCTTTACAAAGCAGGCTGTACCCTGCATGCCTTGGGTTTCTATCACTTTCTGACTTGAGCCCAGATAGGAAAACCACTTCTTTCCTGGCACCGAGAGCTCTTCTTACCTGTTTCATCTCACTCCTCAGCCTGTTGATGCCACTCCTCTCGGTTTTGGTGACTCCAGTATGTCCCACCTCATGGATGGAGATGGCAGGGCTGGATGTGGAGGAATGGATAGGCCGCACTGGAGAGGAAACACACACATCGTTCTTAGAAACGATATTTTGTCCACCCTGAGAGGAATGCATGCATGTGCTTATTTTTTTAATTAATTATTTTATTTTATTTATTTTGTTTTTGGCTGCGGTGGGTCTTTGTTGTTGCGCGTGGGCTTTTCTCTGGTTGTGGTGAGCGGGGGCTACTCTACTCTTCGTTGCGGTGCACAGGCTTCTCATTGCAGTGGCTTCTCTTGTTGCAGAGCACGGGCTCTAGGCGCGCAGCCTTCAGAAGCTGTGGCTCACGGGGTCTAGAGCGCAGGCTCAGTAGTTGTGGCGCACGGGCTTAGTTTCTCTGCGGCATGTGGGATCTTCCCGGGCCAGGGCTCGAACCCGTGTCCCCTGCATTGGCAGGTGGATTCTTAACCACTGCGCCACCAGGGAAGCCCGCATGTGCTTATTTTTATCCGCGTCTCTCTCTCCCACTCGACCATGCACTCCATTAGAGGTGGCCGTGTCTGCCCTGGCCAGCGCTCTGTTTCCAGCACCTGGGGCAGCGCCTGCTACACAGCACAGGCTCAATATGTGTTTGTGTGGATGAGTGACAGAGTGAACATCACTTAAGCAGCATGCAGAAAACACTGAGTGGCCAGGAAACCCTTCAATGATTTGGATATGTTTTTTAAAATAATTTTTTACTTCTCCAAATGCACCCCCTTCCTTGCAGAAAACTGAGACCACCTAATTAAGGTCCAGCCTTGGGGCCGGAGAGGGAAGTCCTGGGAGAACAAGCCGACCAAAGGCTGGAGGTGGCGAAGACACACAGAAGGGGCAGGGAGGATCCGTCACCTGGCTCCACTCTGCTGCCCGCCCTGCCCCCACTAACCGGTTCTCCACGGTGTGCTCACAACGATCATTCTTAAAGGCACGTGTGACCATGTCACTGTCCACCTCGAATCCTTCTTCAGGTTAAAGCCTCACAGGGGCACACAAAGCCCTACCGACTTGAGCCCACCCGCCGCTCTTAGCTGTCCCCTCCAGGCCAGCCACTCAGCACTGGGCATTGCACAGGCGGCTCCCTCCTGGCCTGCCTGCTCCCCTCTGCCAGGTGCGTCCTCTCCTTCTGAAGGCCCGACTCTAAGGTCATTTCCTCGGGCAGCATCCTCTGCGTGCCCTGCCTTCCCACCCACCCCACCCCCGAAGCCATGGGAGTAGGGCACTGCCCAGAGGAGTAGAGACAAATAAGGAGCCAAAGGACAGCACAGAGGGAGGACCCACAAAGGAGACACGACGATTAGCCAGAGAGGGAGGAGGGACACTGGGAGAGTGGAAAACGGAACCCAAAGGGGTCTGGGAAGCTACAGTGGGGCCTGTATAGAGTGGGCATTAGCTGAAAATACTCATCTCCGACATCTCAGGATGTAATAAAAATTCTAAGACTATTTGAGTTTCCTGATTTATAAAAATTGAACAATTACAAAGGACAATTAACAAATGATGCTGTACGCAAAAAGACAGGACCTCTTCTGGCCTTGCTTGCAATTAGACATATTTATGGTTTCAAGTGACATTACTCTGTTTAATAACAATTTTTAGTAATTATCTGTGTCAAACCACATATATTATTTTGATGAGCAGAACACATTAAATATTAATCTTACATATTTACATTTCAAGGACTGTGCATTTGAAAGAACTGAAAATTACTTTTGGAAAAGGATCTTGACCATTCCTCAGGAAAGGAGAAAACCCACCAAAACACACCTGATCGCACGATGCCAGTTTGGTTGCCTGCTGGTGCCCACTCTAAAGAAAAGATCCGAAGTACCCAATGTCCTTATTAAATAAAAAGAATGACAGCCCACACTGCATTTCTTTGGCTTGATGAAACAAATTCACAAATGTGTCTGCAAATCATTTCACCTTATTATGAGGAGGGTAAATGATAATTGCTTCAATTATAATTAGGGAGCATTTGAGAACAGAATTCCACCAGGACTTGGGCGATTATATTTCCTAGCACTGTAAACAGGGTTCCGGTACAGATAAAAAGTGAGAGAGAGCAAGAAGGGGACGAGGCAAACTCACTCAGCAAGAAGGTGCTGTGAGGCTGCAGAGGGCTTTTATCTGGGCCCATGAAGGGTGATGGGGGTCTAACTGAAAACCAACCCACACTAAAGGTGGGGCCCTCAGGTGCTGGGAAAAGACAGCCCTTGCATGCTGACACCTTGGTCACCTCACCTGCTCCTAACCCCTGTGCACAAGTGACAGTGCCTGGACCAACTGCAGAAGGAGGGAGGCCGCAGGCCAGGGTGTGCACCACGCCCACATGGGACCGCAGCTCTCCCAGCCAGCCGACGAGGGGTCACAAAGCCCTACAAGTCACAACCTTAAACCTAGAACTCTGTCCATCTCAGTGAAGTAGGAACCTGCTACCCAAACATTATGTCCCGAATCGCGATTACTGGTGTTGATCTGTATAGAAATGAAGCAGTTCCAGGCCACGCTGGACACGTCAGTCCAGCCCTCTCTGACCCCCTCCCCTCAGTAAGATGGGCATTTACTTACCGCTTCTTTCAACACCAAACTCCTTTCCACTTAAAATATGGTGTAGGAGATTTTTCATATCGAAAGGGCTGAGGTTCATCAAACTTTCAGAAGCTTCTTCTCCTAAAAACAAACATCGTGTAAGTGTCCCGACACAGGCCTGGTGGCAGGGGAAGGTAGAGTGGCGTGGGCGTGGGGTGGTGGTGGAGACAAAGGGTACTGTGGGAGGTCTCCCTGCTCAGGATCACCTCTCTACTGCTTCAGGACTGAAAGGTACCGATCCTTGGTGATTCTAAATGCTGCTATTTAAGTTGTATATTTTCTTAACTCAGACGCATAATTTTTCTCACTGTAATAACCCCCAATGTTGGAATGCACCTTGCAGTTGATTTACATATTTAAATTGGTAGGATTTCTCCCAGCAGAGGTTTTATGAAATGGGGGGTGACATCTTACCACAAGGAGAAACAGTGAGGAACTCAGATGTCAGGAGCAGAGCAGAAGATTCTAGTACCTCATTTTCCCTAACCTATGAAATTCAACACCCTGTGCTGGTTGGTTTGGCGGAAGTTACATCTAAACGAGAGAATCTGGTGAAGCCGTGAGCCCACCCAAAGGCTCAGAAGCCCTGGTTCCAGAATACTTGAGCAGGGCTCCCCAGGGGCGGGTGGGTGCAGGAGCTGTTGGAGCCGCGCGTGAGAATCGCACCTGAACAGTTCAGGCTCCGCGCCAGCTCCGTGGCCATCACCTGAATGATGAGTCCAATCCGGAGTCTGAGCATCTCCACGAAGAGGCTGGGCTGTGCCCTGACATACATCGCCAGGTAAACCACAATCTCCTGACACAGACAGACGTGGAGACAGGGCTTCAGAGACTGGCTGGTGGCGGAGAAGCCCCTGCTGCCCCGAGACAGCCCTGCCCCTCCGTGGCCAGCTGACCTGTGTGAGCACGGCGATGCTGATGTCCTGCCCGCTGGCTTCGTAGATGAGTTCTGTGAGCTCCTCGGGGGGAAGAGGCCTAGGAAGGAGCATCAGGACACAAACACCACGAAAGATGCCTCCTAGTCCTCTATGGAATATCCTCATTTTCCTGCTGGAAGTGCTCGAGTGACAGTGTCTATAAAAAGACTCTCTTCCTGAATGGTGGACAGCACTGATGTTTTCCCCCCAGGTACCGCCCCCAAACCTGAGGCCCCAGGTTGAAAACTTACGCAGAGATGGTCTTCTCCCGGGGTTCTGGCGGCAGGCCCACCGTGAGCTGCTTCTGGTGTGACAGCAGGTCCGTGCAGGCCTACACATTTAGGAAAAGGGGGAGGGGGAGGAAGATTAGCAAAGCCGGTGGGGAAGGATCACTGCCAATAAGATCATAAATTTACCTTTACAAACTTTATGACCCATGCTGCTATTTATTTGAAAATTCATACACAGACCCCAGACTGAGCAACCCAGCCAGAGTTGGGTCCCCGTGATCTTTTTGTCCCCAAAATGTGGTCCCAGGCCTGGCTCTGCAGGGCCTATTAGTGGGTATTTTATGCTCACCCCCTGTAGCAAACACACTGGATTCCCTGATATTCCATAAGGAGGATGAGTTGCTATGAGTCCTAAAATACTGATGTTAAGAGTTAATGACCATATTATAGTCCTAAGTTGCCAGTTTCCCCATTATTCACATATAATAAATACCATCACCTTACTAAAACAGTGAACTTGGGGACTTCCCTAGTGGCGCAGTGGTTAAGAATCCGCCTGCCAATGCAGGGGACACGGGTTCGAGCCCTGGGCCGGGAAGATCCCACATGCCACGGAGCAACTAAGCCCATGCGCCACAACTACTGAGCCTGCGCTCTAGAGCTCGTGAGCCACACCTACTGAGCCCACGCGCCATAACTACTGAAGCCTGCGTGCCTAGAGCCCATGCTCTGCAACAAGAGAAGCCACCGCAATGAGAAGCCCGCGCACCACAATGAAGAGTAGCCCCCGCTCGCCGCAACTGGAGAGAGCCCATGTGCAGCAATGAAGACCCAATGCAGCCATAAAATAAATAAATGAATGAATGAATGGGGAAAAAAAAGAACCTGAATGTCATAGAAAGCAGTTCTGGATTTTGCAGGGCCTTGGGGTTAAAATACTGATGATGATTGTATGGCAGATGTGCAGAAATAAGAGAGCTCTGTTTAAGAGGGTGCCGGGCCACAGAGCATTTTCATTTCATTTCTTGGTAAACCCTTTTCTGCAGCTAAGGAGTAACAAAACTAATCAACTTGAATTTCATTTCCTCTGCCTGTCTTCCAAGAGCAGTGGGAGGTCAGGACAGAAGGCCCAGCTCTGTCTGTATAATAAACAACGTGTTTCCTTTACAAATGAAGGTGCTTGCCTCCAGCTTTCCTAATAGGAAGACGGCACCGGGCTAGAGAAGACAAACAGACACCCTTCACGTGCATGGTGGTTCTGACCTCAGCCAGGACTTCCACTTTCTTCTTGAGTAGGCCAGAGATGTAGCGGATCAGACCCCACTCCTGGTTCAAGCCGGCTTTTCCATAGAGCTCACTGAGGAGGTTGTGAACAGTGACCCCGTGCTGTCCAGAGAGATTTGTGTCCCAGCTGGGACCCCTGTCAAGACATGGAAAACCCCAGAAGTATGGCCCAGAACGTTTCAAGGCCAGATTCTCTTACAATAGAGCTCACTTGGCAGGGAGGGGAATGAATCACCACGCATTCTGCCAAGTGCCTGGGGGCTTCCCAGTGCCTTTGAGTCTCACCGAGAGGGCTGCGTCGTCTTCTGTCTATTTGAAACAGAAGCCTAACATCAGGAAATGATGAGATCCTGGCCTCACCCAGCCTTCTCATCTTGGGAGGGCAACACTAGTAGGTAGAGAAGGGGATGGGAGTCTGTTCACGGTGAGTCTGGGTAGCTTGGGTGACTATGACCATGATGTGGCTTGTTGGAAGGCCAAGAAGCCTAGGACAAAGAGCAAGGAGAAGAGAGAAAGCTCAACCTAGTGAAGACCACCCACTTACTTTATTACATACAGAATGTACAGAATGTCCGCTTGGTCCTGTAGGTTTGAACAGTCTTTCAGCTGCTCAGCCAGCTTCTCACAGTCTATGTTGCCGTGGTCATCTCTGGGAAACTGGAAGTCATCTTCCGGGGCCTGTCCATACAAAAGCCAGAAAGCAGGGGAGGGGGGCTGAGCATGCCAACTTCCAGAAGACCAGGAAGTGACACACCAACCCGGTCTTGGAACTCTGCTGCTGTGCTATGCTACAGGTTTTCATTGTATCTTTTGGGGCTTTTTGTTTATATTTCTGATCGGTGAATCATTGTGTTAGTGGATGTTTGCAGGGGACTGAACTGAACAGGTTAAAATATGTGTAAATTTTATTTATGTAAAGGTCAAAAACAGGCAAAACCAACCCCTGGTGTTAGAATTCATGCCAGCAGTTACCTTTCGAGTGGAGGGGGAGGAAGCGACCGGGAGGGACACAAAGGGCGCTTGTTACGCACACGGGTCTGTTGGCTCAGTGATAATTCATTGAGCTCTATACTTATATTTTATATACTTTTCTCTATATATGTTAAACTTCAATAAAATGTTTTTTGAAGGCAAAACACACACAAAAAATATGTGAGTTTTAAACAACCTAAAATTGTGGTTAGGTTAAAATAGTCTCCAACAGACGCTGAATCTTTCTGATAAAATCAAAGGGAACTTTGGATAAAATAACAAATTATGGGAACTAGTGGGGAACACCCTGGGATTTTATTCTGCAGAGGAATCTTTTTCTGGTTTTGTGCCCTGCTCCACAAGTAGCCCGGCTTTGGCTGGCTGGCACAGCTAGGACGGGGCTGGTAGCGAGCTAGCTCATTTCCTCTAATGTGACACAGATTCTGATGAGTAGGCAGAATGTCAGTGGCCATCTCCTACACGCAAAATATAAAGGTTTGCATCAAATTCAGTGTGCATACTGACACAAACCAGAACCCAGAACTTCTAATCCTGAAAGTTCTGGATACCAAGAAATGGGCTCCTTTGAGTTCAACCATTTAAAAGAGTTCTTGGGGCTACACCAGCACCAAAGAACATCACACTTTTTGAAAAAGTGATTCTAAATACTTTACCTTTTTTAGGAGTGGCTGAGGACAGTCAACAAGATTCAGCGATTTACGGTGGGCACTTAGGACTTTAGTCGGCAAAGCCATGGGAACAACTAGAAAACAAACGAATAAAGAGAAAGCTCTTCGGAGCAGGAGGAAGGATAAAATACTTCTTTTAAGAGGTACGGTGGCTACTCCCTATTCAGTACAAACCAAGTAAGAAATGATTACTTACTTAGTTTCACTGATTTCAAAAAGAATTTTTCATGTGGCCACATCATGTGCTAACTCTGGAAATAAGAAATGAGCAGGACACACACAGATCTTGCTTTAAGGAGCTGAATTCCACTTTTCTCTCTTAGAATTCAGGGAAAACTACATAGCATCTAGGACTGGAAGGAGACTTAGAAATGATTGAGTCCAGCTTCTTTTTCTTTCAAATGTGGAAACTGAGAACCAGAGAGGGTTTGTCCAAGGTTTGTCCAATGACCTTGTCATTTGCCCAAGGTCACTGGCCTTCTCATAATCGAGGTGTACCAGCTTCCTGTCCACTGTGTGTTTCACTTTGCCACTGCTGGGTGTTAGCGCTTCTGTTTTTTTAACCACCTAATTAATTAATTAATTTTTGGGGCTGCGCTGTGCAGCTTGCAGGATCTTATTAGTTCCCTGACCAGGGACTGAACCTGGGCCCCAGCAGTGAAAGCACCGAGTCCTAACCACTGGACCATCAGGGAATTCCCCTTTTAACCACCTTTAGATGTTATCAGTATTTATTCATTAAGCCATCTCTGTCTGCCAGGGTATGTCATATCACCTTGGGAAAATAGGAAGCTTTCCAGGTAAAGATGAGGTATATTTAAAAGGCATTTATAGGGCTTCCCTGGTGGCACAGTGGTTAAGAATCCACCTGCCAATGCAGGGGACATGGGTTCAAGCCCTGTTCCGGGAAGATCCCACATGCCGCGGAGCAGCTAAGCCCGTGCACCACAACTACTGAGCCTGCGCTCTACGGCCCACGAGCCACAACTACTGAGCCTGCGTGCTGCAACTACTGAAGCCCACGTGCCTAGAGCCCATGCTCTGCAACAAGAGAAGCCACCACAATGAGAAGCCCACGCACCGCAATGAAGAGTAGCCCCTGCTTGCCGCAACTAGAGAAAGCACGTACACAGCAACAAAGACCCAACACAGCCAAAAATTAAAAATAAATAAATTTTAAAATAAATAAATAGAAGGCATTCATAGACCTTCAGGTAACACTAGTGGATTAAACATAAGTTTTAGTTTCTCTTAAACCCCCACTAACACTACAAAAAATAATAATTCTTAAAAAGGCAAATCCTAAAGAATAGGGAAGCAGGAGAGAAGACAATAGTAACATTTTGGAAGTGGGAAAGCTGAAGGATGAAAACATTTAGTGGACACAAGGCAACCAAACCCAAGACTGCAGTGGGGAAAACCAAGAACCAGTCAGATTTCTAACAGAGAATCCTCAGAAGTCTAAGGAGCTTGCTGCTCCATGGACCTCTAGACCTTGGGCGTCCAGAGAGGGTAACCATAAGAAGGAAGATGGAGAAGAAGGTGTGTGAGAGGCAGTGAGCTCCCTAGATGCCTTGTGCAACTCCACACAGCTTGGCAACTGCCTTGCTCACCCTGATAGAAGGCTAGAAGGTCTCTCCGAAGAGGGTAAAAAAGGGGTGGTATGTGTGTCTCTGGAGGGGATGCTGACCCACATGTCTGAAGGTGTGGGTACATTCCTTGGGGGAATAAATGACTGTATAGCTCGAGGCAATCAGACCCTTACAGGTTAGAAAGGAGATTGCAAAGGAGATCGCAGAACATCTCTGGGAAATCTGCCCTGCCTTCACCCATAAACCCAACAGGCCCCATTTACAGGTACAGGCTTGGAGATTCTTATATGCATGAGCAGTTAACCAAGGAACACCCAGCACTGGAGGAAAGACTCTACTCTGGAAGACAGAAACCAATACAAACAGGAACAATTGACTTGGGGGAAATGGAAACCATTTAGGGAGAAGAAAATGTAAAAACAAAAACAAAAAGCCCTGCCATTAATTCTTAGAGTAATAAGAATTATATTGCATTCATGAAACAAGAACAGATACAATTCAGAGAACAAAGATTTAAAACATGACAGCAAAAGTGGAAAAACTCAACTGAGCAGGTGGAACAAAAAGTTGAAGCAATTGCCCTCAGAACAGATCAAAAGACAGAGAAATGGAAGACAGGAGAGAAACGATAAAGACTTCTTCAGGAGGTCAACACTGGAATCATAAAGTACCAGAAAGAGAGGACAGAGAAAATGTAGGGAAGGAAATGAGTCAAGGAATTTTTCAGAAAAACTTTACAGGACTGAAAACCATAAATTTCAAGATAGAGAAGGCCCACTGAGTAGCCAACACAGTGGATGAAAATACACCCAGAACAAAGCACATCATTGAAATTTCAGAACCTGAGAGAAAATCCTACAAACTTGGAAAGAGAATAACAGTTTATATTTCAAGGATCAAAAATCAGAATGGGGCTTCCCTGGTGGCACAGTGGTTGAGAGTCCGCCTGCCGATGCAGGGGAACACGGGTTCGTGCCCCGGTCCGGGAAGATCCCACATGCCGCGGAGTGGCTGGGCCTGTGAGCCATGGCCGCTGAGCCTGCGCGTCCGGAGCCTGTGCTCCGCAACGGGAGAGGCCACAACAGTGAGAGGCCCGTGTACCGCAAAAAAAAAAAAAAAAGAAATCAGGATGGGTTCCGATTTCTCAGAAGCAACACTGATAGCTAGAAGACAATGAAGAGATGCTTTCAAAATTCTTAAGGAAAATTTATTTTCAATCTAGAATGCTATACCCAGCCTAACTCTCAAACGGAGAATTTGTAGATATTTTCAGACTTGAAAGGTCTCAACAATTTTACCCACCATGAACTGTTTCCTAGGAAACTACTGGATGTCCTCCACCAAAATAAGATAGTAAGCTAAGAAAGAGGAAAAGTTGAGATACAGAAAACAGGAGAGCTAACAAAGGAGACAAGGAAGTCTCCCAGATGATGATGAAGGAACATCCCAGGATAAGATCTACATCCTGGACGTGGAGGGTGGCCAGGCCAAAAGGGGCAGTGAACTCCAGAAACAAGCAAGTTAAGGGCTGTCATTACTGTGCCCTCTTCCATTGCACCATTTCTTAAAACCTACTGAAACTGTTCTAGAATGTATTCCACCAAAGGAATAAATTGAGAAAGGGGAACATGCCAGAATCAAGAAACAGGGAACCCAACTGCAGAGACAAGCAAAGGAGATTCCAAGGATTATCGTAAAGAAAAGACCCAGGATGCCAGGTATGCAAGAGGCTTAGAGTGCAATCAGCCAGATGGGAGGAAACTTTTGGACTCTAAGAAAAGCAGTGGAACCGTGAGATTCATACATGATTCACCTTGTGGAAATTTGTATTGCGAGGCCATTGGAAGGTGTAGAAAGGAAGCGAAGCAAACTAAAAGATAGGGCAACTGTTAACTTTAGAAAAAACGAAGAGGAAAAATGATAATGTAGTATATTATTATACTGAGTTGGGAATAATATTTGCATACATACAATGACAGAAATAGTGAGTACTGATTTAACTAAACCTTAATACAACTGCATGGATAGGTTAGGGGAAGTGAAGCAGAGGAGTGGTGATTTAACACAGCTGAATTCCTCACCTGCACAAGAAAAAGTCAACAGATACTGAATAAAATCGATGCATCAAAGACAGCACTACAGACACATTATTTAGAAATATGTAAATACCAGGAGAAACAACTAAGAGTTGAAAGTGGTTGCCTCTAAGTAGAAGGACTGGGGGCAGTGAGGAGGGGAGAGGTGAGGCAGGAAACAGCTGCATTTTGTTGTCGTTTAGGATTCTTCGACTTTTACATTATGCTCATGCATTACTTTGATAAAAGAAGTTATTTTAACAGGCAGAAAAGAGTTAATAATGTACATGGAATTTCCAAACCCTTTGCTTTTGCCATCACGGAAAGTATATCCCGAGTGGAGTAGATGGCACTGAAAACATGGCTGTCCTCTGTCTTCTTACAAAGAGGTGGCAGATAGCACTTCGAGGATGTGCTTTGCAGGAGGTGGTTGATATACTGGTCAAGTTCATCCTGGCTTTCTATAATTACACAGGTAAGAAAAAGAGCCAGTGAAAACAAGCTGCAGAAATAACCTAAATGCATAATAGTGATTACGTGTAGCATGAAGTGCTGAGTAGATTTAGTGAAAGACAACATTTTGATATAGATATTTGACCTCCACTCTACCCCTGGAAAGTAAAGAGATTTACATAGATAATGCATGTATTCATAGAGTTATTGTTTGGAAAAACTTCATCCTAGAAAAAGAAAATACAGGTCCAAATAGTGTTTACATCACATCATCCCAAGATGAGCTGAATATGTAGACAATGAGAGGGCCAGCAGCCAACATCTGATCTTTTGGTTTTAATTTGTCATGAGTGAGCTAAGCATTATGGAATCCCCAGCCGCAATCCCAAGTACTATCTAAAAGTGAAAAACAGGTCACTCCAACCCAAAACCTTCCTCAGTTTGAGAAATGTTATACACAAAGGACTTCATCACTTATATCCAGTCAAACCAAGATCATTCTACCATTTCTTTGAAAATTCAAGCAGTGTGTTTCTTTCTTTATATTTCGTGAAAAGTCCACATTCCTGAAACTCTTTGTCCCTCTAGGTTTAAAAAAGCCCCACTTTCACAGTTTAGGTTTATTAAAGTGGCATTTTAATACGTGAAAGTTTCCAAAGACTCTTTTGTCATGTTAATTACAAATCATTTTCTGTGCTTGAGTTTTAGGGCAATTTTATCACAATGCCAAGGTTTAAATAAATTCAGGGACACCTGCAAAGGCATTCCAAGCCGTACCTTGATTATAGTTGTCTTCGAAATATCCTCCCAAATCTGAATCACTATCAGGACTGAAGCTCCCTTCACTGGTATCGTCAAACAACTTCTCATCACAGTCTGGATCCAGGAAGGTCAGATACGTGTAGAAAGAGGTGGTGAGAAATTCCGAAAGGCTCCCTAATTTTACTCTGCCAAGGAAACACTATGTTAGAGATATAGGTGGATGTGGACAAACTTCCACTATGAATCATCGAGACACTTTTCAATAACCAGGTGGCACTTCTGCCAGAATCAGTAAGCACGTCACTCTGCAGACTGCCCCATACAAGCAGTCAGCCAAGAAATGAAAATGAAAATTCAATAGCAAGTATGAAGTAGAAGCACACAGCATATTGAAAGCCAAAATGCATCATGCTGATTTCCTATCCCCAAACCCAACACAAATAGAAATCTATTTTATTGAACCAACCAAAGTTTTACAAAACATATTGAGCGAACCACTTTTAAACAGAACCAACCCTCGGGTATTTTTCGCCCTAAAACAACTGGACCAGGACAAAACCACAAGCAACGATTCTTTGGGTGCCCTCGTGCTACCTTTTATGAGTCCCTATCACTCAGCCACACAAGGCCCGGGGGAGGGGGAGGGGAAATGTTGGGAGAGGCACGTCTCAGAGCCAAAGTTCTCTCTAGAAAGAATGTGATGGCCGGGCCATCCCCGGATAGAGACAGTGGCCCAGAGGGGCCCTATTATCAGGCTGGGAAAAGTTCCACCGAAAACTGGGAGCTGGGTTTGGCAGTATGGGATTCTGCTACAAAGGCAGCAGCCTCCGAGTTCTTGCTCCCTGAACCTGATTCACCCCCAGGTTCGGGGGGCAAGTGGGATGTCCACTGTACAGAAAGAAAGCGGGCACTATGTGCTTCTTAAAGTGTTAGATCTGGAGGCAGAAAAGTGTAGGATGCCTCAGAGCTACCAGCATCAGATTATGACGTGTTTAAATGGCTTAGTTTGAGGAGAGTAAACAGAAGCACGCAGCTCAGATGAACTCACAGGTGCCTGAGCTTCCGCCGGCAAGTACACTGTCAAGAGACATTGCCTGAGGGAGAGAAAAGCCTTCCCTTAAATCAAGTAAAACTTTCCCCCTAGAGCCCTGGGGTCAGTTCTAAGGATTGTTTTGCCCTGCGGTTGGAAACAGTAGGAGATGAGGTGGAGCCAGGGACCAGTTCCTCTCTGATGAAGTTGAAAGGAATCAGGTCAAAGGCGGAAAGGCTAAACCCTCTGACGGCAAGCGACCCCAGGTGGGTGCAGAGGGTGGAGTCTGGCATGTAGAGCGAGTTCAGTTTTTTAAATACCCTCAGACCTAAAAAAGAGACAAAATGACATTCAGCGTTAATTATGAAGAACTAAGTAGGAAGGGCAGCTGATGGAGCCTAGGCATTCCTGTTTCTTTCCATGGTTCTCTGGATTGTTTGCCATACTCTGTAACCAGGAGGCCCTCCTGATTCCTGTAAGCCCTCATCCAGCTCAGTATGGTGGTTACAGCCCCGTTTCTGGATTCACACAGAGCTTCTGCACCTACTCATCTTGTGCCCCTGGCTCTCTGAGCCTACAGATCCTTGCCCATAAAATAGGAATACAGCCTGCACGACAAAGTGAAGACAACATGAGACAACAGGTGCAAAGCCACAAAGAACACACTGCAAGTGCTCAACTAACTGCACACGGTATCCTTTTGACAATGATTAGATTTCAGTTAAAGAATTCATTTTGGAAAACAGTTAATTATGGGCGTATAGTATTGTCTCTCGGTTATGACGCCATATGCCAGGTGGTAACTTATCCAAGCTGGATATGAAATGTACGAAAGCAGATGCCAACTGCAGTTATGGCGCCAGCCCTGGGAGCTAGATAGCAGAATGCTGGGGATGGCCTCGCTGACACTCATGAGAGAGGCCAGGAGAAGCTTGGAGCGAGGGCCACTTCGAGTCTACAGCAAAACCCGCAGCGAGCTTGGTGAGCAGAGGTGCCAAACCCAGTGCTTAGAAATCCAGTGACTCAACCCTGAGGACATCAGCCTAAGTGAAATAAGCCAGTCACACAAAAAAACAAATACTGGATAAGTCCACTGAGACGAGACACCTGGAGACAGAAAGCAGACTGTAGTTGCCAGGGGCAGGGGTGGGGGGAGTTTCAGTTTTACAAGATGAAAAGAGTTCTAGAGATTGGTTGCAAACTACGTGAATATACTTAACGCAACCGAACTGTACACTTGAAAACGGTTAAGATGGCAATTTTTATGTGTATTTTATAATTTAAAAAAATTACTGTGGCAGCAGGGTCCCTGGTGTGGGAGGATGTGACAAGAAGGGCTGACTTCAACTCCCAAACACTTTTAGCAACTGGCACTCCATCAGGACCCAAACGGCAGCCTCCCCAAGCTCGGCAAAGGCCACACATTACTCGGACCAGCTGCGTGGTGAGGTTATCCTGGGGCCCTTCTGGCATATTCCAGGAGATTCACAGAGATCAGGGCATAGATGCTACTGAGAAATCTTCTGCCTTGTGACAGTCATGGGGTACAAAAAAAAAAGGGGTTTCCATGGGAGGTGAGCCCCCTATCCCTCAAGGTGCTTCACTGTAATAGCTGGGAGCACCGGTTGGACTGTGGGCCTGCAAATCGGAATGGGCGTCGTTCCACGGAGGATGAGGGGACAGTGGTCTAGGGAGGCCCATTCAGGTGCTCTGCTCTGAGGGCCACGAAGGAATTTGTAAAGTTCTGTGAATTATTCTTACGGCGTTAGCACACTCAAGTCAATTCCAGGAGTGATTTGATTATTGAGCACCGGCCAGATCCTAGGCCCTGGGTGTTTTCTAGCCTTTGAGTAGAAACAGACACAGCATCCCATACATGCATTCCGAGAGTGCCACTTCGGAGAGACTTGATATGTTCATCTCTCTAGGCCCCAGGCCTCCTGGCGTCCATAAAAGCTTCACAAACACCCACCAACTGATGCTTAGAGATGATTCCAGTTTCACATGGGTGACTGGATTAGATGTTTTAACTCCCTTTTTACTCTAAAGCTCCACGCTTCTATGTTCGGCAAGATACGAAAAATGGGCGAAGGGCAGCAAAAGACTTTAAGAAAGGTCAACGCTACTTTTGCTTTTTAAAAAAATCACAAATTACCTAGCTCCTCCAAAATATCCATCCTCTAGTTTTCGAATTGTAGAAAGAACAGCAGAATGAATATCTGAGCCATCGTTTGCTTAAAAAAAAAAAAAAAAGATCAATTAGTTTACTTAATCTGGGAATACTTTGTTTCGTTATGCACTGAAACGTTTTCATCAACAAAATCTAATTAAAATATGTATGGCGCCGAAGATTCCCGACCTAAGAAATCTAACTGCTAAGAACCCCCTTCAGTACTTAGCTCTGTCCATGGGACGCATTTTAAACATTTTGAAAAGGGTCCAAACCACCAGTGGGACATGAGTCAAGCAGATCAAGTTCATGGAGTTACTGAGCATGGTATGGGTGATGGGGAAGGTGAGCGTGGGTCTGCCCGTCATCCGCCAGCAGGTGCACAGGTAGGCTAGCTCGATCCTCAGCATCTCCACAATCATCTCATTGTCCAGGGCCAGGTAGAAGTGATGCTGGTCAGTGAACTGCAAGTCAGAAGAGGCCAGGTTCAAGGCTGTCCTTCATCTCCCTCGACATAACCCCAGCTGTCATTCACGGCAGCACTAATCCTTGCATTTTGTTTCCAGAGAAGAGGCTCAACCCTGGCTGTAATCCGCCCCCATGATGGGGCTCTCCTCGCGATCAGACAAATCGATCTGTCGCCTGCCCAGGAGCCAGAGCTACGTTAGTGCTAGCGCAGAAGGGAAACTTGCACAACGAGATCTATTTACAGCTCCTTGGATGGGGATTTAAGGACCTGCCCCAATACCGCTGTCCCTGAAGGTAAATCAATAACTCCTCAATTCCTACACTGTCCAGGGCTGCTGGGCTCGGTGATGTTTTCCTAGTGGGGCCACTGAGAGCAGGTGAGACGTGGAGACTGTGTTTACCTGATTCATGGCCTGGTTAATGTGAACTAAAGGCACTGTTGCCTGATGTTGATGAAAATCACTGTCGTCCTGGCCTCTGGACCAGTGCACGCTCAGTTCTGGTCTAAAATTTGTTACGAAGGGAAATAACTCACAAGATTTAAGCAAGCAGCACAGGCTGGGTGAAAAAGAGCAACTTGAGGCTACTGACCCATGACCCTACAGTCCAACTACGTCCCCAGACAGCTGGGCGGCTATGCCCCATGTTGACAAAGTGATCCCTCAGTTGGCCTTTCTAGCTGCCCAAATGGATGAAAAACGCTTCGTTTGCATTCCACAGGACTAGTTTCCTTTGGAAACAAAAACTCTGAAGAAAGGTTCCATAATCTGTATATTCAGGATCCTGTCAAGGGGGTTGGGACCTAAGAAATCAGACTTCCCATGTGGGATTCTGCTGACAGAGGACCTGCTAACAGCCCAAGCAAGGGTTAAGGACTATTGCAATTAGGGCACAAGGGCTGCGAGTCAAGTGGCATGTCACTAGCGAATTTGTAAAGTGGTATGAATTTCATACTGGAAGTGAGGGCACGCTCAATTCGATTCAAGCCGCATTTATTGAGCACCTACCACGAGTAAAGAATTGTATTAGGTACTGGGTGTCATCTTATGTCTCTGTTTGAATACATGCACGCACATTCAAAGTACCTCCCCAGACAGAAAAGACAGCTTAATAAACATGCTTGTTGGTTTGTTACTGGCCTGCTCTTCTCACCTGGGGTGTGAAAGTAAAGATTTGGTTCCTAATCACATATAATTTAGATGTTCCAAGGACTCCGATGTGCCGATATGGTCGCCCACTCAATTTCATATTCTTATTCCGTCCTATTTAGAAAATAAAAGAGCAATTCGAGCTAGAGCAAATACAGTGACATCTAATCCACGTGATTCTGGCTAAGACTGGGCTTATTTATATGTTAAACAACTCACTTTGAGGTTTGGTTTTTCTAATACTGTTATCCTTCTTTGGGACAAGGATGAATTAAAAACAAATCCCACCCCCTTCTTTTCATGCATATAGAAGAACAGCACCCGGTGCCACATCTATATGGAATAAAATTATTAAAAGGACTTTATTAATGTTCACTTTTTATTTATTTAGTATTGAACCATGATCCTAAACAAAGTCAGATTTTAGAAAAAGTAAAGAGAACCCATCTCCCATTTTAATGGGTAAATGGGCATTTTCTTAGACCACAGATAAAATTTAGAAACATCACCAAGACACAAATGACTGTTCCAATTGTGAAATTTCAAAGGTGGCTCCTTCTTTTACAACAGAGCTGATGAATCACACTGCTACGTGTGGTGACATCTCCTGAACAGGCATGAGAGGAACGTGCTTGGTGGCCATTCCTCTTCACGTGGAAGCTGTCAAACCACCTACTTTAGTGCTTTGCCCAATTCCTTTGAATTTACACATATCACAGTCTCCCCCAGACCCCAAACCTAGAACCGAGATGCCCCCTCGCCAAAAATGCCCTGCTATTTCCCCAAACCTACCAAGCTTGGCATATATGTGACTAAGAATCCGGCCTGGCTGGACTCGGATTGGATGAATGTCGGCAATACTCTGCAAGCTCACCCCATGTTTCCTCAGCAACTCCTTAATGTGCTTGTTTTCTGCCAGAACAGTCACTGTGAACAAGAACATAGCACCTGCATGAGACGGCGGCCCTCGTCCCCTCACACGGATGTGTGCTGCTGTCTCCTCTCCTCTCTGGCCTGTGACAGCATGCTCTCCACGTGCTGGGTGCTTTTGAAAGGGAGAGCGCTTGTCCTGTCGCTCTTCCTGGTTCGCTCTGGCCTTGCCTCCCCTCAACACCCACAGTGCATATTTATCGAGTGCCTTCAATGTGCAAGGCAGTCTGGGACTTCTAGAAGTGGTCTTCAACAGGTCCCAAGCTGAATTACCCATCTCAAATGACGTCTTGCTTCCCTGTGGGTCTGCATTTATTCGAAACCTGTCTTGTGTTCTTTTCACATGGGGTCAGGAGTGGAAACAGCTTTGCAAAGGGGATACCAGAAGAAGTCCGTGCCTCTGCTCTCAAAGACAGAAGAGCAATATAGTGGTGTGTGCAGCAGGGGATGCTCTGACCAAGGGGGAGGGAGGAGGAGATTTTATGCTCTGGAGAGAAGGAAAAGTGGGCCTACCAGTGGGCTGGTGGTAGTGGGGCAGCCTGGCCCACTGGGAAACACAGCACAGGGCCCCCCGCTAGTAGGGAAGAGCCACCCCAGAGCTGGGCCACGCACCCAGTGGGCCGGCCTGAGCCCCATCTCCAGTGAATGAGGCTGGGCATCTGGCTCTCTAGCAGGCAAGGCTCTGGGATGCCTGGGATGTGGGGGCCGGAGGTGGGCTCAGACCCCCCCATACCTGCTGTACCAGTACTGCTGGCTTTTAAGAGAAGGGACAGGGCTTCCCTGGTGGCGCAGCGGTTGAGAGTTCGCCTGCCAATGCAGGGGACGCGGGTTCGTGCCCCGGTCCGGGAAGATCCCACATGCCGCGGAGCGGCTGGGCCCGTGAGCCATGGCCGCTGAGCCTGCGCGTCCGGAGCCTCTGCTCCCGTTGCGGAGAAGCCACAACAGTGAGAGGCCCGCGTACCGCAAAAAAAAAAAAAAAAAAAAAAAGAGAAGGGACAGTGCTTTGGCAAAAGGAAGGAGTCCTGGGGAGGGAACTGGAGAAAGGGAGTTCTGGCCACAGAGAGAGCGGCTGGTGCTGTGTCCACCTGCAGCTGAGCCTGGCAGGAGCTGCAGGGGCTCGGGGCGGTGCTCAGGCCAGAGGAAAGACTCGGTTACTGTTAAGGTAGCTCCCTGAGCCCAACCACTGTACCCTCAGGCTGGTGGCAGCTGAACGTATGATACATATAAATGCCACTGAGACCTGAATGTCACCTCCTTATATTTACATAGCACATGATGCTGTTTCAAAGTATTTTAATATTCATGATCTCATCTGAGCTTCACAGCAAGGCCCTGAGGGGAAGCCTTGCTGCTCGACTGGCCAGCTGTAGCTGAGCAGGGACTGGAAGCTAACCCCCCAGGCCCCAGCATGGGAACATCAGCCATGCAGGACTGGGCGAGCAGCTTCCCTTAACACCCGTCTCCTTGGAAGATTACAACACCGTGCAGAGATCTCCACGTATCAGAGCCACAAGGCGGTCACTCTGTAGAGGTGACTCTTTCAGACGAGTGGCTTGACCAAGACCTGTGAGCCTGGTGATCTGAGAGAGATGCACGCAGAGAAGTTTCTGAAACTGCACTTCTCCTTCCTCCAGACCACAGCCTCTGATATTTTCTACTCTGTTTTCTTCTATTGCATTTAAAAAAAAAAAAAAAAAGTGGTGCTCAGGATCCATCGATGCACCCCAGCCCGCAACTGGAAGAGCGGCCTTGTGGACTTAAGGGATCACTTAGCAGCATGTGCTCTGGTGACGGGCAGAGACTGTGGGGTCAGGCTGGATCACGCCACCTGGAGGTCAGAGCTGGGTTTGCACCTCCAGCTGTCAGCCGTGGGTCCCTGAGTAAGTTAACCCCTTAGCCTCATGTGTAAGAGGGGGATGATAATCATGATCGTCACACTTTCTACCTGATCGGAATGTTGTGATGGTTGGGTGCGTCTCTCGGTGGGCCTGGGGCACAGTATCGACTGGGTGATGACCTGCACGACCTCTGCTGTATCACGGACAGGCATAGCCAAATGCATCCGTGGCCACAGAGAGGGTTGCCCTTCATTTGCTCAATAATTGTTTTTAATGTATTGAATGCGTGTGTATCAATCAACATAGAAGCTACAAAAATGATAAGGCCCTCGTCCTTAAGAAATGTACAGTGTCCTCTAGAGGACACAAGGCGTAGTCACGACACGCTATGATACTTAGCTGGTATATAAGTCACTCTATGAGGTTTGTGAGCTCCTGGGGAGTCCTTCCTAGGAGGGGAAGTAGGGAGAGGAATCAGCCAGCAGGGAGCATTCTAGGCCTGGCCCTGCACTGAGGGCTTTCCCTGTGGATCTCAATTCCTCTCAAGACCACCCTGTGAGAGAGCACCGGTCAGGAGAGCCCGAGGCACACAGAGGTGAAGTCACATGGCTAGTCAGAGCCAGTGCCGCAGCAGTAGCCCAGGCTGGCCTTGCACTTCTGCGGAAGAGGTGCCGGCTGGAGAGGAGGGGAGATGGGTGGAGGGAGGTGAAAACATGGGCCTGCAGCTCTGGAAAGAAGTCAGACCTCCAAGGGAGGAACGAGTGAACCCTCATTTGGGTTTTGAGTTTTCAACAAGGTCACGTTCTACTTTTTAAAGAAGAGCAGTTATGAAAAATGATGCTCAATGAATCACTTGTGCCCCAGTTGCAATCAAGGTTTAGATTCAAGAAACAACTGCTTTGTAGAAAGTAACTGTGATTGGAAGCAGCTGAGTTACAGAACACATTTCACAGAACTAATACATGCTAAAATATATACACATGCAGATTTTTAAAAATTACATAGAACACTTCGCTTTAAAAATAACATTGGTTTTACAAAGTTAAATATGAATAGTAAACATGCTCACAAACCTTGTACTACGACATCAGGTTTGACGGAAGTGGAAAATCTTCTATTTAAGGGATCAATTTCACCAGTGGCAAGGAATCCCTAGGAAAAGAGGAGCATTAACACTATGAAATACTGATTAACTGAAATTTCACCTTAAACCTAAGTTTGAAAATAAAATATTTGGGGGCTCAAAATCTTCAGTGTTTTATTCCTTTATCATTTTTCAAGGCAAATGCTTATTTTCTCTGAACTACAGTATACCATTTAGATGGCACTGATCAATGTATTGCGTTTTTGGCACCCAGCTCTCCAGGGCTAGTCAGAGACGCCAAACTTGTGTGAGTGAAAAGAACGAGGGTAACTCATGCTTCCTGAGCCCTTACCCCGCGCCAGGTACCGTGCTGAGCCCTGTACATGCACTGTCACACAGGCCTCCTAACAGGGAGGCACTACCATTCGCACATCTTACAGGTGGGGAAACCGAGGCAATGTCCTTAGGGTAAGGACTTGGCCCAGAGTTGACTGTCCTGAAACACAAAACTCCCCTGCCTGCTGGCAGAGTGCTTTTTGAATGTGGATCTCCTCATATTTTCTATAAATGATGGGAACCTTAAGAGAAGGGATCAAGGTGTTCTGGGAGTTCTGAGGAGAAGTTGGACCTAATGCTGGGCCTAGATGAGGGCCTTTACATTGGGAGGAGGAAACAAAAGCAAGTTTGTTTCCCATGTCACTGATACAGAAATCAGAGCTGCACCATATTGCAGAGATGATAAAGCCCAAACTCTTTACTTTAAAGATGAGGAAACGTGAAAAAAAAAACCTATATTTAAATAAAGCTGTACAACATTAAAAAAAAATAATAATAAAGATAAGGAAACCGAGGCCCAGGGAGATTAAGAGACCTGCCCGAGGTTAAAGAGCTAGTCAGAGGCAGGGCTGGCTTTCCAAAGGAGATATATGTGCTTCCCTACTCATAAAGACAAAAGTATAAGACACAGTCTCCACCCGCAAGAACATGTCCATGAAACTGCGGAGATGATCATATCCATGAAGCAACTGCTCCATCTCAGCACCTAAGGGCCACTTGCACTGTGATAGCTTCACTTGGGTCTTCCTTTCACCCACCAGGAACTCCAGTGACATCCAACCCATTGCTCCCCTGGCTCCCCCGCCCCCCACCGCCCCCACCCCTCCCCAGGGGTCCAAAGCACTCAGCTGGGCAGGATCCTCCCAGGAAAGATGAGCCATCCGATAAAAATCACTCACACTTAGGACTGGGGAGGGGGATTCATTTTTAGCTGGCACAAAAGCATTTGTATTTTAAAAACTTAAACCTGGAGGCAAGAAAATGCTTAACAAGGAGGAATGAGTCAGAGGCAGCAGACCTTCTGTGTGGCGGTGCTACTGGCTGAGGGAGCGGCCGACACAAAATCCACTACAGAAGAACCAGCCCGCTGCCCCTTCCTGGAGAGAGCACTGGAGCGTCAGAGTCCTCCTGCTTCCTGCACCTAAGACCGTGTGGAGTAGTCCCCCAAACCCTGCATCTTTCATACATGTGCTGATCCTGGCTGAGAAGTTTCCGGCCCTCCTACCGACCATCAACTCAACCAGGTTCTAGCCACAGACCAGGAATGCTGGTGGGAAGGGGCGCTGGGGGAGGGACAGAGAGTGCTTGGCTTGCAGCTAAGCCCAAAACGGTTTATTATAAATACGGACACAAGCCTAGGTCTCAAGCCTCAGAGTCAACCCCAACCAGTTGACCTGAAAGCCATGAAGATGCCAAAGACGGGTGACTTCCCTGGCGGTCCAGTGGTTGGGACTTCACCTTCCAGTGCAGGGGGTGTGGGTTCCATCCCTGGTCGGGGAGCTAAGATCCCACATGCCTCGCGGCCAAAAAACCAAAACATAAAAACAAAAAACAAAAAAACAGAAGCAATATTGTAACAAATTCAATAAAGACTTTAAAAATGGTCCACATTAAAAAAAATCTTAAAAAAAATTTAAAAAGAATGTAATCTTAAAAAAAAAAAGATGCCAAAGATATTCATAGCCACATGGAGCAGAGAGCCCCTGTGTTCTTCCAGGGTCCCCTGAACTTCCAATCAGATGGTTTCCAGTCTGTGAAGCCCCCAAGTCCCTTACCTCTGCCAACAGGGAGCTGAGGATGTACAAGGACTGACCCCACAGATGGGGCAGCTTCCCCAGAGGAACTCTGTCCACCGTGTGAGGATTCTTATACTCTTCATCTACCTGGCAGAGAGGAAAACCCGAAGTCAGAATGTCAGAGGAGAAAATGGCCAACGTCACTACATGGGGAGCGCACGGAGGATTTACAAAATGCCACTCATTTGATCCTCCAAACCAATTCTATGCGAGAGCTGGGATAAGGAGGCCATGGAGGCTGAGGCCCTTGCGCGGGGGGCCACGTGGCTAAAAGCAGCAGAGGTGGAACTCAAACCCAGGCCTGGTTCCAGCCAGTGCTCTTCCCGCAAGCACACTGATGGCAAAAGGCTGAGAGATAGGCACTGGAAACTGGGCCTGCTGTCTTTGAGCACAGCTCTGGGCAACAAGAAATGTCACAGCTCATACTTATATTTGGTTGCATTATGGGTACAATGATCTAAAACATCAGCCAACAGCCATGGCAGTGTAGTCCTGGATGCTGAGTCAGGTTTCTATCTTGCTCTCCTCAGGGGTTCATAAACTCAGTGTGCAGATGCAAGAAAATTACCAGAAGGTGGCGCTATTTATTGAGGAAAAACAACTGTATTATTAGATCACTAATTTTCCATCAGGGACTCAAAAAGCTGAATCCATTGGGGGCTTTTGACTCATCAAAATAAGCTACAGTTCTCTTTCTGATGGACAGTGCTGGCTACGTGTTGTAAAAGGCTGCAATTTTCTGTTGTAAACTCCATGCTGACCTTTGGGTTTTGGGTCATTACAACGTTCGTTGGTTGGGGGAATGTTAGTGACCACTTTCTTCTCCAGAAAACATAAGCCAATTGAAGGAAATAGGAAACACATCTTTCTCCAAAGGGGAAAATCACATCATGAGACGAGCCATTCTCTGCTTGTGAATTAATCAGTGATGTTGTTAATACATGCAGTAAATTTAAAAAATTTTTCTGTAGTAAACTGAGAAAAACTTAAGCTCATAAACGGAACAGAATTAAATGTTACCAGTAATCAAATAATCAAATAGGATAATACGTGGAGGGAGATTCTCCAAAACATCACTGTGGTTATATTTGGGAAGTAAGATTCGGGAGAAATATTTTCTTTCTATAGAATCTTGTATGTTTTGCAGTATGCAGAATTACTTTTACAGTCAGATTGTACATTAAAACTTTTTGAAATGTAAGTACTGTTAAGAAAGATTACATAGATCTGGAATGGGAAATAGTCGATGCAAAGAACAGAAGGTAGACAAGATATCTGGGTCAAAAGACAGCTTGGCTCTGCCCTCCTCCCACCCATTGCTGGCTCCTGCCTCCCCGTGGAGGTATGTGTCTCCCCCTCTCCACCTCAGTCCTTCCAATCTGCTTGCAGGTCCTCCAATGCACCAAGCCTTTGCCGCCGGCGGTCCTCTGTCTGCCCTCCATCCCATGGATTCGCTCCTGCGACCCCCCTAGCCTGCAAGTTCGCAGAGGCAGAGCCAGCGTCATGACCCCTCTGTACCCCAGTACCTAGCCTGCTGCCCAGCCCGGAGCAGCTGCTCCAAGCAAGTCTGCTGGGTACGCTTGCGTTAGTCTCGAGCTGTCCAATGGAGGCCCCGTGGGTGGTGGCGCCCTGCAAAAGCCTGTCCACCTGAGGAAGTGAGTGACGCTGAAAGTCAGGCTGGATGGCGCCTTGGCCCAGAGCTGTGGCCACTCCAAGGGTGAGGCTCTTTTTCTAATTTGCACAAAGGTGCCATATGGGTCGGGGCAGCCCTGTCTGTGGTGGTCTCTGCATGTTACTAAGATGTGACGGGTGAACCTTCCCAGCTGTCATCCAGAACCGGCACAGATACAAACTGTGCTCAAAATAAAAGAATGTTCAAAATCGGTGCCTAGCTGATGTGTAAACACACTAGATAAAGGAGGATACTGAAATGACAAGTACAAGCCCAAAGGTCAGTGTAGAGATCAGAAGAGAAAAGTTGCAGAGTAACCCTTTACAACACGTAGCCAGAACTGTTCACCAGGAAGAAAAGGAGAGCTTATAACACCTAGCAGTTACTACAGTCAGGAAATATGCCTTTTAGTAGAACATGGATAGATGGTTATTCTCTATCATAAAATAGGCAAAATACCCCTGAAGCTATTTATTTTCCCTTGCTATGCTTTCAGGTTCCAAATTACGGCCCATTACCAACTTTGTTTTGTCAAGTGCCTCAATACTGGAAAAGGGGCAACCTGAACACGCAGTTGCTAGGAAGTACCCAGCCCCCACTGTCAGCCCCCCCCACCACCACCACATACACATCACACATAGTAAAATGAATACATTTGCAGGAAACCTAGGTTTCTAACAGTTAGAAAGAAAACAGCCCCTGCAGGCTCCATGGCCTGATCTCTACAGTGAGGGACTGTCCATCCCCTGGAAATGCACCACCCATTAGGAGGCAGCGTGGGGTTGTGAGGAGGCCCTGAACCTGGGGTCTGGTTCCAGGCAGAGCCCAGTGCTGTCTGAGCTCTGCCTCTCTGAACTGAGGCAGATAATTTCAAAGGCCTTTGCCAGTCCCCTGACCATGTGCTCATGGGCCTGATTCAACCACAAACTCGTAGACCCAAGCTGCTGTGTGACAGCAGGGTTACGCTCTAGTGCAGGCCCTGTCAACCAGGGGAAGGACACTGCTCTCTGAAGTCTCTTCCTCCCCAAAGTGCAATAATGAAGCTTTGAAGCAACAGGAACATTCAAAAGAGAAATAGCCTTGAATCGAGAATTCTTTTCTGCTAAACATGAGATATGTATGGGGAAATCTTCCCATTAAGATATATAGGTCCATCATGACCCAAGCTAGCAAAGTGGATAGAAAAAACGATCTTTGGGCATCTTCTTGGAACTGGCCAGTTTCCCTCTTCATGATATAGAATGGTTTCTAAGTGATTACTCAAGCTCTAGCTCAGGAACTGCTTGACTCAAAGGAAGAGATTCTCAGCTACCCTACACAGGCACACCTTGGGTCCAGACCACTGCAATAAAATGAATATAAAGGGAGTCACGCAAATTTTTTGGTTTCCCATTGCATATAAAAGTTATGTTCACACTATACTGTAATCTACTAAGTGTGAAATAGCATTTTGTCTAAAAGAACTGTATGTATCTTAATTTAAACATATTTTGTTGCTAAAAAATACTAACCATCATCTGAACCTTCATCAAGTTCAGCAGTAGTAACATTAAAGATTACTGATCACACGTCAGCATAACAAATATAGTAATAATGAAAAAGTCTGAAACGTTGTAAGAATTACCAAAACGTGACAGAGACACGAAGTGAGCAAATGCTATTGGAAGAACTCAATTAAAGGTTGCCACAAACTTCAATTTGTTTAAAAAAAAACCGCAGTTATCTGCGAAGTTGCAGTAAAGCCAGGTATGCCTGTGCACCTCCCCCTCTCCCAGGGAGATTCTGTCTGGTTTCTTCTTCCGTGGAAATGTGTGAGAACATGGTGCCTAATAGTGTTTTGTGCTTTTTAGGGCCTGTGTGGCCTTGGGCTCGGAGAAGGACAAGTATCCTCTGAAGGTCCTCAACTAACGCCTCCCTTGGGCACCAGCCAGGTCAAGCATGGCTCCAAAGCCGTAACTCCTGTGATAAACAGGAGCACTACTGAAGGCTTTAGAAACCACTTCTCCTGGAGAAAAAGGGTTAGGTCTGAAGGGGGAATGAAAAATACCCAAATGCCAAGCACCATCTCACTCTGTATTAGATAAGCAGCACCTGCTTACCTTGTTAGGCGGCACGGCGTAGAGTTCAGGCATCAGGTGGATCCCGTTCTTGCCTCTGATTAATATTCCCTCCAGGGCCTCTCGGTATTCTTGGACCTGGAAAATAGCCCCATCCCCCACGGTAGGAAACAGCAGTGCAACACAGAAAAACAGCTCTCTTGGCAACAAACAGATCAGAAGTAGGACACAAGGCTAAGAAATGCACAAATACCTTCAGCTCAAGGACTGCAGGAGGAACCTGGACTCTTGCTGACAGCAAATGTTAGGAGGAACTAAATGCGACTAGCCTTTTATGTGTTGTCTTTAATTCGTGATTTAAATACTTCACTCTTAACTTCTCACATATTTAAACTTTGTCTCACCAGCTAGACTATAAGCTTTATGGAGTGGAGGCCAGATCTTAAGCAGTGCATTCATTTCCACCTGTTGGTAGTTTTCCACTGAAGAAGCCCTCCGTTCAAACATTTATTGCTCACGAAATATTTGCTGAACGAATAAGATGTGAAGAAAAGGAAGTGTAGGTACTATGATCCATGTACCCCAATTTTTAGGATGTGCTACTCAGTAAAAGCTGTTGATGTAAACATTTCTATTAAATTAAAAAGGCACCAATAAAACCCTACACATGAAAAGGGAAATAGAGAGAAAAAAACCCTTAACAGCCACCCAGCTATTTGACACATTTCATCTTTGGAGAGCCCAGTCAAATGCCTTCCAGATCTCATTTTCTCTTCGTTTGAAATTTATGGACAGCAAAGCACGACAGGGTGCATCACTTTAAAATGTGACTGGGCAGCAACTGGAAGAGACAGCACAGGGGGCTAAGAGAAGTAAATTCTGTGAGACCTACAAAATAAGGTACTAAACAGGCTTTTCTGTCTCCTTAGCTTTTTTGTTGTTGTTGTTGTTTCTGATAATTTTCAAGCTTGTTCATAATTGAAATTCCAACTCAATCTTTTTGAGATCTTTCAGTCTTGGGATAAAAAGACAGAAAACGTTAAGAACCGAGATAATCACTGAAGCATAAGAGTGAGAATCAACAAAGAGGGAACATTAATATTTGAAATTTACTGCCGCTTCTGAAACACCTCTGCATTCCTCAATAGAAGCAGCTTTCAAAAACTAAAACGAATCTTAGATTGCATATCCTACCCCAGAACATGAGATCTGAACAGATTAAAAAAACAGCAGTGTTTGAGTTTGTCAGCCCCGTAAACTTCATGAGGACAGGTCTGTTCTGCTCACCAAAGTATGCACGGCAGCAAATGCTAAAGAAATCTGTCTGAACAAATGAATGCTGCATTAACAAATATTCACTGAGTACTTACTATGTACTAGGCGTGGGGCATACACCAGTGAACTGGAGAGAGACCACCTCTACCAGGGTCCTTTGACAACTAAGTGGGAAATACTGTTACAGGTGCCAAGCTGTTATAAGAACCGTGGGGCATATAAAAGGGGCACCTGACCCAGCTTTTAGGCTTTCTGAAAGAAGAGACACTTAAAACGAATCACGTGAAGGAGGGAGGGGAAGTTGGGGGTTGAAAGGGCATTTGAGAGAAGGGGAGAGACAGCATGGCCTGCTCAAAGGACTGAAAAAGTTTCCATGTGCTTGGATTACAGAACTCAAGAAAGGAAATAAGTTAACAAGAAATTGGGGGTACACTGGTGAAAACGAGGGCCCGATCTTATGGGATCCTACAAAACGTGTGAAGAGCTTGTACCTCATCCCAAAAGCAGTCAGGAAGCCATTCAAAGCTTCTAAGCAAAGCAGTAGCATAGTCTCTTTCTTAATAAGATCACTGGCAATGGTGTGGAGAAACAGCAGGAAGCGAGGCTGGGAGACATTAGCTAAGAGTACCCTTAAGGATGGCAAAAGCACTGCTGGTCTGAAAAGAACAGCAGCAACAACAAAACCTGTGTGTGGAAGACTGTTTGGTGGCCCCCGACGACCCCCGCCTCCTAGTCCTCCAGCCTTTATGGAGGGCCCTCCCCTTGAATGACTTACGATAAAAGGCCCTCAGATGTAACATATTGGGTTAGGCTAATCAACAGAGAATTTCCTGTCACCTGTTTTATCCTAAGTCGAAATTTGGTCCTCTCCTTGTGTCCTCAGATTAAAAAAAAAAAAAATGACCCTGGCATCTACCCTTGTCAAGGTTCTACATGGCCAGGATATTATAGAAACCATACTTACTTTTCCCAGCCTGTGTCCCTTCCATATTTAATATCTAATTGTTTCAGCCAAACTGATAATGATCAAGACACTCCAATATGGAAAAAGGTAAGACACTTTATCCCTGCCTTATCCTATATAAAATCCCTAAAAATAAGAGCCTAAGTTTTAACAATGTGTGGCATTCTATGTGCCCCCTCAGGCTACATCTCTGTCTATGGTTTACCCATCTTGGGCCTATGGATGCCTTGACAGCTGGCACATAGGTGGTATTTGTTTATTGGGATCAAAATGTTAACTTGAAACTGGGAACAAGCGAATATTTTCAAATGAGGGCTAAACAGTTTCATTTCACAAGCCCTAGGTGGGTCTATGCCCCTTATCGGCAGGAAGTATCCAGAGTGGTAATCTCTCTTCTTCCCTTAAGATGGAGGAATGATCAAAAGATGGGGGGGGGCTTCCCTGGTGGCGCAGTGGTTGAGAGTCCGCCTGCCGATGCAGGGGACGCGGGTTCGTGCCCCGGTCCGGAAAGATCCCACACGCCGCGGAGCGGCTGGGCCCGTGAGCCACGGCCGCTGGGCCTGCGCGTCCGGAGCCTGTGCTCCGCAACGGGAGAGGCCACGACAGTGAAAGGCCCGCGTACCGCAAAAAAAAAAAAAAAAAAAAAAGATAGGGGGGACTGAAACCAAGCGTAATCATTAGTCAAATCCATTTTACCTGTAACCTGCCTTCACTAATCAAAGTCCTTTTAAGACTTGCAAGTCCTCCAAGCAGCACTTTGCCTGAATAATAAGATGTTTGCCCGAGTTGTTGTCTAGGAACTTGGAGTCAGCTGTGTCTGGTTCCAACTGAGCTGGTTAAGACTGGTTAGGACCACTGACCCTCCAATTGGGCATGCCCAAGTGTCCCCTGACCTTTCGGCATCAGAGGGCTGAAAACTCCACCCTCAGAGCATGCTAAGCACCTCCATTTTGGAACATGCAGAACCCTGTAGCCTAGTTACACTTGGGCAGAATGACAATTACTGCACCTTTTCCCAATCACCTTTCCCCAGCCTCAGACCGCCCTGCTGCTTTATTCTTTATCCCATAAATACACCGAGCCCCTTGCCTTCGCTCAGGTAGACCTGAGACTTTCTCCTTGCATGGCTGCCTTGCGAATAAACCCTCTGTTTGCTGCAAACCTCGGCATCTCAGCGTTTTGGCTTGCTTGCTGCTCTCTGGCAAAACAAACCTGGTTTGGCAACAACAGCCCTTAAACAACAGAATGCAACAGATGTGACACTTTGCCAGTTCCAGGCCTAAACCTTAAGAAAGCTTGGCGGCTTCTGCTTTCGCATTCTGGGAGAAGATGACCACCATGTAAAAAGCTTAACTGTCCAGAGACTGCAATACTGTAAGAAGCTCAAGCTAGCTACGTGGAGAACCAAGGTCTGGGCCAACAAGCTGCCAACCATGTGAGGGAGGCCATCTCGGATATAGATCCTCCAGCCCCACTGACCCATCCCAGGTGACACTAGGTGAAGCAGAGAAAACCTGTCCCTGCTGAGCCTTGCCCAAATTGCAGAATAATAAGCAAACAAAATAGCTGTTGTTTTAATTCACTAAGTTTTAGGAAAGTTTGTTAAGCAGTGACAGATAACTGACACAGTGCCCTGAATTCCTGCATAACCCTATGTTCTAATAATAATCAGCACACCAGTGGAATGAAAATGCTGATTACCAACACAACACCCAGCATTTTCTCACCTGAACAGCATCACCGTTGAAGACCCCATCTATTATGAAATAAGTCCAGAACACAGGCCATTCACATTCAATGTTTTCAAAGAGCTTGAGTTCAGCAGGGTCATAATGCAATCGGTTTGGGTCCTGGAACCAAACAGGTAAACCCTCTAAAAGGTAATGTCAGATTACATACATAATACCATTGTACCTCAATGGGTGTCCCCTGCTTTCTGATTCAATGCAGCTTTGAGGCTGGCATAATTAGGATTCTGCTATAATGGGGAGATGCTATTTTTGGCAGTTTTCCATGGTAACATTTCAGAAAAGTAAATCAAATGTACACGACACTCCTGGGTAGTTTATTATTTAAAGCTTACTATATCTCTATAACAAATAAATAGCAATTTGCCTCTCACAGTGCCGGGCAGACTATCTGTTTTATTGATATCATTATATCAGTCACTATGGCAAAGGAACCCAAGGAGGCCACAGGTAGCCTTTTAAAAACACGTGTGAGCCACAGAACTGTTTGTCCTTGTCTAAAAGCTGGTTTTAAACCACCAGCTTGCTGTCCTCCAGATGATCTTACTATTCTATTGCCTAACTCCAGCTTGCTGACTCCAAAATTAAGACTTGCTTCCAATATTCCAACATGTAAGTTTTATATTCCAACATGTAAATTTTATAATCAACAGAGGGAGAACACCACAGTGGCAACTTAGATATGAAGCAGTTAAGGAATCAGAAGAAACAATCTTTAAATACAACCTCTCTTGGGGTTTTATAACCATCTCGAAGGAAGCGACAGCATCCATAACGCCCCTAAGAAGATAAAGAAAAAAGATGCATTTGATGAAACAGAATTTCTTTGCCTCTTTGATTCAAGTCAGCCCTTCACCCCCTTTCCCATGAATCTTTTAGTAACAAAATGGGTACCAAATGCTCTTTGCTATCAGTACAAAAACTTATTTTTAAGTAATAAGCAAAGTAAATTCAGGTTTGATCAGTGCTTGGAAGGGAATGCCAAAACCTTCCATTAGAGTGGCAGTCAGGGCTGAGAGATTAATTACCGGTAGTTCACTGAATGACCATCCTTTCATTCTGATTTGCTGTATCGTGCAAAGATGCAAAGGGGCCCTTACTGCTTGGAGAAGCCACCAAGGCAGATACGTGGATTGACTGGACTGCTTCTACTGGAAAGACTGGAAAGCCACAGGACATTCCAGACTCCTCGCAGTTAGGCTCCGGATGCAAAGAAGCCTGCACCTGGCAAGAAGTAGGTGAGGGAGGTGGCAGGGCTCCCTGTGGCTTCGGGCCATCGCTGCTGGTTTTCCTGCTGCAGGCTCCAGTGTTCCTCTCCAGCTTCTTGGGGGTCAGGAAAGAAGGACAGTGGCAGTGCTCTCTGAATCTGCCTCCCTAATCCCTGGATCGCAGTTTTGGGTGTCCACTGCCCAATTTCTTAAGTAAGTGGCACTGCTCTAGCACTGGCCATGGAGGCAGGCACGCTCCTAGTGGCCAGCCCTGTAGTGTTTGGGGCATCCTGGGAGGCCCGGTCTTGAACTGCTCCCCTTGAAACGCTTCATTCCCTACATTAATTCCCTGCCTACCTCCACAAATTAAAGAGGTTCTGTTTTCTCCACTGGCCCCTAACTGAGACAGTGCCTTCTTTGGGGGATATGGTTGGAGACCCTTTACCCCTTTGTTTCCAAAGGCTAAAAGCATTTTTCACCGAATCTAAGTAGGATCATCAAATGCAGATTTCAGTTTAGGGAACTTACATTCTTCAATCATTTTACTGGTAACTTCAGTTGGCTGGAGTACTGCGTAACCTTCTCAGTTTGGTGTCATGTGTCATAGTTGCTGCATTTCACCCTGGAGCGGGGATTTTTTTTAACCTCAATTTAACTTTGGGATCTCCAAGTCCCCAGAAATTGTGTGTAAAGTTTCAGGATATTGGGACATGTACATTTTTTTCTGGCGGGGACTTTACCTTTCAAGAGATTCTTAAAAGAGTCTGTCTGGGATCTCTAAAGGGTTAAGAAGCTCTGCCTTAGAAGTACGGGAGTGATACGAATTGGGGTTTAAAGGTGCCAGCTTGAATTGAAGCTCTGCTACTTAGAAAGAGAACCAAGGCACTGATCACTCCAAGACTTATCCAGACTCAGCTTTGGAAACCTCAATCATGAGTCGACTTAGATACTGAGCAACTGATCTCATGGAGAACCGAGGCCTGGGTGAGCTGCTCCACGTCACTGTCTGAAAGGGGCACTTAACACAGGGCAGAAGGGCACCAGTGTGACCAATACTTACCTGGAGCTTGGAAATAATTTCATTTTTGGTCACATTCACAAGGTTCACATCTTCCACTGCAAAGGCCGGGAAAGAAATAATGGAAAGAAGTCCAGCATCAATCTCTTTAGATGTCGATGCTCTTGGCAGCATGGAGAACAGAATAGACTGAACGAAAAACAAACAGGTGGCTTTAACCTCGGAAGCACTAATAGTTACATACAATATCTAGAAACGACGACTTTACCCCAAGGGAACATTTGAATGAGTTTGCCAATTTTGAGCAGAGCTTTTTCCTACCAACATGGCCCCTGCTGGGCGACCTCGCCTACCCAGCCAATGCTTCCTGCTCCTTGCAGGAGAAAAGGGGTCTGGGGAGAGCAGTAGTACGCCTGGAGCCCATGCTGAGAACTGTTTGTCCCCCTTCCTTTCGTGCCTTCTGTTGACTTCGCTGGGCCTTTAGGACATGCAGGGAAGGGACTAAGGACTACCTTGTCAGTAGGCTAGCGTGTCCTGGCTGTGAAGATAAGAGACAGAGAAGAACACACATATGGGACCAGGCCAAAGAAATGTCTGGCTTCTGTGGAATGTGACCAGTTGGACTGGGTGACCCAGGAACTACTTAAAGGAGTCAAATTCAAAAGACCACATGAACAGGCAAAATGGTTTAGTCAAAACAGAATTAGTTTAGTCCTAGAAAGAATGGGTTACTTAGTGGCACTATAATATGGCCTCAATTATAAGGTGGTTGGATTAGGTACTGTAAACTAAAGGAAGGTGAAATTATAAAGAAAAGTTTGGGAAGGGAAGAGAGCTAACACTGAGATCTAACATGTATAGACATGGGACTAGACCCCTGCAAACATAAGCTTATTAAATCTTCTATATGAAGGAATTCGAGAACTATGTCCAATTCACACGTGAGGACTCTGAGACACAGAGACTCATGCCTAAATGCATGCAGCCAGTCTGCGACAGAGCTAGGATTCTAACCCAGGTCCAGCTGGCTACAGAGCTCATGCAATCTCTACTAGGGACTACACATCTATTAAGATGCATACCAGCTTGACTTTATTAAACCACACCCAAAGAAATAGCAGACTCCCCATTAAGGACTATATCATGGAGGGAAATGGAAAGAGCTAGAAGGAGTTAAATATGGGGGGGAGCCCTTCAGCTTCAGAACAAAGCTTCATTTTCTATAGCCAAATGACCCCCAAGCCCAGTTCTTTAACTAGTCACTCTCCCTCGGCTCTCTGCCTGAAACACACACTCCCACCGGAAGCGCTCTGCTTACAGGTTTTTATATATCTCACTCCCACAGCCCTAGCACAGTACCTGGCATGCGGTAAGCCCTCACTAAATAAGAGTTTGCTGATGTGTCAGCAACTGGTGACCTACTGTCTGCTAAATGGAGTCCCCTAATCTGCATCAAATCACACCTTTCTCTGACGGGTATTTCAGGGAGATTTTACTAATTTGCCATTTCTCCCATATCATCTCTCCTCCACCATCCATTCTGCCCATTCCCACTCCCTCCCCAAGTGAACTCCTGCCTGCTAGTCATCCAATTTGGGGACCTCATGAAATAAACCTGAGAGAAAACCACCTACATGCTCAAAAAACATAAAACCGATTTTGCCTCCAACGAAACAAGGCTGCCTTGATTATTGACTCCATATACAACATCATCACTGTGTCTTATGTTTGCACAGTACTTTCTGGTTTACAAAGTACTCTGACAAACTAAGTTGATTTACTCTTGATCCTTGTGACCACCTTGTGCAGCAGGAGGAGAAGGTCCCAGTATGCCCATTTTATGGATGAGGGAACTGAAACTCAAAGAAGCCAAGTCCCATCAAGCTAGGAAGGTGAGGATCTGAACTGGAGCCCAAGTCTTCCACTTCATGAGTCTCCTTCCCTACTCTCTGGAACGTGAGAGCCTTGAGCCATTACCTGGCAGTGTTCGACCTCATCGGGCAGAACGTGGATCACGGACTTGCGACCTCCATGGGCTCCAAAAAGGTCCAGTTCGTCAATTGCCTCTAGGGCTGCCTACAAGCACAGGTATGAATTACTTTTTCTTGCTAGTACACATACACTCCCACATCTGGCACCCCTTTTTCATTAAGCAATCTAGCATATATGTTTTCCCAAACGTGGTAAAACAAATCTTTAAAATCCACTAAAGTGTCTTATACTCGTGTTCTATCCTTATTTTCAGTGGATAAGAGCTTTCCTGTGTTTTGCTGCTCACTGCAGGAACAAGAAAGAGAAAACAGAAAACCATTTCCCAAAATGAAATTACTATTCTACCCAATAATGAAACATTAACAACACAGCTTTGTGTGTGTAAGGGGTGGAGGGCTAAATTCATGGGCGGCTTTTCTTTCACCTATTTTAGCGGTTGACTTCTAACATTAGCATATTTGGCACTCAAAAATATTAACTTTTTTTAGTATTAAGTATGTTTTCTGTCAGTTGACCTTAACAGAGCAAATTTATTGTTGCTTTAAGAATTCTAGTTCTGGAGTCTTTATTCTGTCTAAAATTATGCTTCAGTCTTGAGGCAGAGGGGAGGGAGGAGGCGTGCTAAATGTCTAGGGCAAGACATGTCAACTGGTGGCCAGTGGGCTGAATCTGCCCTACAGGCATGTCTTGTTTGGCCTGAGGAAGTTTTTAAATGATTTTTGAATTAGAATACCTACAGAGAAAGTTTGCAGCGTCCTCAGTACCCCCTGATATTTTTCTATCTGGCCGGCTTCACTTGTTTATATTACTCGCCTGACCTGACCCTGTAGACTTTTAAACTTGTGAGCCCTGTCCTACAAAGTGGTCATATTCTTCAGCCCCTTTATGACCCAGAAAAGAAGACTGGACGTCACACATCCAGCTTCTTCGACAACAGCAAGAGCTTAGATGTGTGGGTGATAACAATGGATAGTAAGGAGGGAATGCACTTATTTTCAGGTACACGCAGATTTCGGTGTAAGAAACCTACATTTTTTTACCTATAATTTCAGTTGGCTGGGGTACATGTGCCACTTGAATTCCATACTTGCTGACTTTTGAAAAATATGCTTATCAGATCAAATCCAAACCCCTAACGATGAGAACCAAACCAAAGCAGTTACAGACGCACAGAAGGAAGAACAAACAGGACGAGACTGTCACCTTGGCCATTCCTACAGAGCTTGCATTCAGTTCTGGAATGCCCTGATTGGTCTTATCTCCACGTTCCCACATTCCATAATCCTGCGGGAGAAAAAGGGAAAAAGAGGTATATGAAAAGTGCTATGGAAAAATGATTCGTTCACGTCACTGCAGGCATGAAGAAACATGAATATCTCTTCTCGAAGGCTACTAAATTCATGGCTTTACATATTCGAGCTGTGTTCTTTCTCGATTTCAGTTCATTTGACCTCTGGGTAGACTTTTGGAAGTAAATACTCAAGTGGAACAAAAATGCATACAAAGACACTCTCAATTTTCTTATTTCTAAAGTTAGTAATTTGTAAGAAACTCTTGATTTGTAGAGACCAGAACATTTTATCTTAAAATAAAAGGCTGCCCTTTACTTATCTAATATGTTTGAACTTGTATTAAATTGTAAGATGGAATAAAGAAACTTTAACAAATGGGTTATAACTAGGTGAAGCCAACCAAACCACTTAAAATAATTTAATACCTGCCTTTAACATTACCTCTTGGGAAAAAAGTGCTCAGCAACTAACAGAAGCCAAAGTCAAAACTGAGGCTCAGAATACTGGACTTTCCTGGTATTTTGAAACAAATTAATAGGAACTGGCTTAGAACAGCCCGTCCACATAGAGGACTTGATACATGCATACCTAACTTTTATAGTTGATATTTTCACTGAAGAAACCCAAGCACTGGATACCGTTTTGAAATAATGCTATATGCACTACTGAAAGGCTGCAACCCAAGAAGAACAGGACCAATGCCAAAATTCTGGCATTTATTATTACAGAGAAAGATGAACATTTTCAAAGTGAGAAATTTTAGACTTAGACACACGAGAGTGACTTCAGACTCTTCCCTGCCAAGCAGGCCTTGTTGCTGAGCCCCAGGACCCCTTCCCTTCAGGACTCCTCACAGCTGGGCCTTTCCGCTCCAACCCGTCCTCACTCCAACCTTGGAGCCAAGGGACTGACTCATCCTTCAAAACTGCTTTGATCAGCTCACTCTCCAGCAGAAGAGTCTAAAATGACGACCTGTTTATTCCCTAGTGGATCACGTTCAAATCTCTCTCTCTGCATGGCCATACCTCTATTATCCAGCCCCACCTCCTGCACGTCCACAAGCTGACTTTACTTTCTACTATTCTTAAGTACTCAGCTTTCACCCTAAGAATACTCCTTCACTCTGCACCCCTTTCCCCAAGCTGTTCCCATGCTCACAGCCTGTTCCTGCCTGTTATTGTTCCTGCTACTCCCACACCCTTTTCCCTCCCTTCTGCCAATCCAAACCCTACTCATCCACCAAGGTCCAGCTAAAGTCCCGCCCTTGCCACAAAGACTTCCCAAGTTTCTTTAGACCAGGGTTTGTCAACCTCAGCACCACTGACATTTGGAACTTGATCATTCTCTGCCGTGTGGAGCTGTCCTGTGCACTTAGTATGTTCAGCAGAATCGCTGGCCTCTACCCACTGGATGTCAGTAGCACTCTCCCCAGAGTGACAGCCAAAAACGTCTCCAGACACTGCCAAATGTCCCCTGGGAGGGGAAGACTGCCCGTGGTTGAGAATCGCCACTTTAGACCTGGGGTCAGCAAACTACGGCCCTTGGACCAAAACAGTTTGCCACCTGTTTTTTGTAAATAAAGTCTATTTGGGACACAGCCACGTTCACGAGTTCACGAGTTGCCTATGGCTGCTTTTGTGGTACAATGGCAGAGTTGAGTAGCAGCAACAGAGACTGCAGAGCTGAAAAAATTTACTCTCTGGCCCTTTACAGAAAAAGTTTGCTGATCCTTGCTTTAATGGCTTTTTAGGAAAAAAACAAACTCTACCCCTTCCTTACTGCTCTTATGCTCAGCTTTGCAGTTTAGCTGTTCTCTACAAGTGTCAGGCTCCCCTCTCTGTAGCAGACAAAAGCCTGGAGAAACTGAGTTTCTACATATTTACACCCGCACACACCTGGCCCAGGGCACACATCTGGCTCCAGCCTCCTACCTGTGGGCTGCCTGGGGTGATCCCCACGGCACCGCAGCTCCTGCGGTGTTGCCCTTCATCCTGATTCAGGCTGGCCTGTGGACGTGCCACAGGACATTTTAGAGTCTTATTTAAAATAAGCGTGATGGATTCAAAGAGAGCATATGGCACATTCCAAAAACAGAAGCTCCCCAACTGAGCTCCTGGACAGAAACGTGCACTTTGTGTGCAGAGGTGACGTAATCTTATAGCTCTAATCTTGCTAACTTCTGGTCAGCCCCAAACAGCCTGGCCCTCAAAGAGCTGTATGATTTTTATTATTTTTGACACTGGGACACCTGAAAAAAAAAAACACTGGGTTTGACACTTACAGCGACTTTATATGCAGCTTCTATATAAAAAACAAGATTCTGTATGAAGGCCACCTCGTCAAGAGTGAAAATAATACGTAAGCCTAGTAAAGAAAAACAAACAATGGAGTTAACGGAATTACGTTGTGAAGAGAGAGCTGCCAATTACAAATTACAAATATTACACTAGGAAATAAATCCTTTTACCCTCATTTTCATTTTTCTTACTAGGGCATCAAAAATTAAGTATGAAGTAAACTGTAACAGTTAATGTCTAATCTCGGAAGGAAGGAAGGAAGGATGGGGGGAGGGAAGGGAGGAAGGAAAGAATGGCTCCACTTTTGTGTGTGTGCCTAGGAGTAGAAAGGATCGAAAGAGAAGATGTGGGGCTTTCGGGTATGTGTTGCATTTGTGCAGAGAAGATTCCACAAAGCAAGCATTTTAGCCCAGAGCAACCACTGTCTTATCTTTGAGTGAGCCAAAGGGCGGGTACTTTTCCCCAATGGCAGATGGGGAAAGTGGAGCCCTCAACTACAGGAGATGGCTTTTCACCTCATGCATCTGCCCAGGCGGCTGCATCAACGTGTTAAAGCAGGCAGTGGCCAGGAGAGCTGGTTTTTGGCTTGGGTCTTTGAATGTATAACTGGTTATGACAAATACATGTTTTATTTTTTTTTTTGGTTCTCCTGTTGGATTTTTTAAATTTTTATTTTATATTGGAGTATAGTTGATTAACAATGTTGTGTTAGTTTCAGGTATACAGCAAAGTGATTCAGTTATACATATACACCTATCTATTCTTTTTCAAATTCTTTTCCCATTTAGGTTATTACAGAATACTGAGCAGAGTTCCAACATGTATTTTTATTTTTTAAAATTAATTAATTTATTTATTTATGGCTGAGCTGGATCTTTGTTGCTGCATGTGGGCTTTCTCTAGTTGCAGTGAGCGGGGGCTACCCTTTGTTGCGGTGCACGGGCTTCTCGTTGCGGTGGCTTCTCTTGCTGCGGAGCATGGGCTCTAGGTACATGGGCTCAGCTGCTGTGGCTCGCGGGCCCTAGAGAGCAGGCTCAGTAGTTGTGGCGCACGGGCTTAGTTGCTCTGCGGCATGTGGGATCTTCCCGGACCAGGGCTCGAACCCGTGTCCCCTGCATCAGCAGGCGGATCCTTAACCACTGCGCCACCAGGGAAGCCCCCAACATGTATTTTTAAAGTATGAATTCTTGAAGCTGGTATGGGTATGGTAAGATATGCACCCTTAACATCACTGGGGGAAGTTTAACTAGTAAACTGCTCTGAAAACAATTTAGCAATAAGTATGAGTAGCCTTTGAATGATATCTAACTAAGGGAAGGAAGCAAATAGAGATGGGGGTCAAAGTTGGTACTGCAACATAGTTATAATAGCAAAAAAAAAAAGAATAAAGGAATAGTCAAACTAATTATGGAATATCCACTGATAAAGTCATTAAAATTATGTTTATAAACAGCTTGTAATATCAAGGGGCAAATGGTTAAGTTATAATGCTATGTAATAAAAAGACTATATTTATGCATATAGTATGACCTTAAATATGTTTTTAAAATGCATAGGAAAAAAAACTTGGAGGAGACACATTCGAATGAAAGTTGGCAGTGAGATTTTTTTCTATGTATTTCATTATATTTTCCAAAATATCTACAGTGAGCTCACGTTAACTTTCATAACCAAAACATATTTTTTAAAGTGCCTGGTTTATTCACGAAGCCATAACAGTATTATTTACTGACTTCTCCTACTTTTAGAGTTTCACATTTGCAGCCTGAAATAAATGGGAAGCCTCTAACTCAGGAGCGTGAATTTAGGGGACTGGAGATAAGAACTCTGAGACACAGCAGCTAAGTGACCTAACTTGAGGCTATTTGGTACACAGAGCGGGGCAGCAGCTTGGAGCTCGGGAGGCCTGGTGTCCAGGCCTCCATGAAAGCCAACAGCTTGGGCTTCAACGAGAACGATGCTCACCACCCAGGAGTTTTTGGCCCACTCACAGCATGGGTGCTATGGACTGAAAGACAACTCTGGGCAAACTGCTGACTTCTAGAAATTATTTTGTTTGTTTATAATTTGGATAAACGAGGGTGTGTCTAAAGAGGGTGACAGGGTAGTGAGAGGAAGAGCTGAAGGGCCTGCTACTCCGGGAGAAGAAAACTCTAAAACGGAGCATGACACCGTCTGCAGATATTTGAACTGCTGAACGTAGATCTGATCTAGGTTGGTCCAATAATTAGGCGACAGAGACAGCAAGGAAGCTTTGGGATCAACCAGTGAGATGCTGACAGAGCTGGTGCAACAGCCCTCGTTCTGCAAGGGTTCAGGAGGCTGACTGTCAACAGAGCCACAGAGTAGCGCACATAATGCAACGCAAAAAGAAGCATGCTTTTTCTTTACAGAAATAGCTTATTTTGAATACTGATCAATGCCTGCCCCTCCCCGCCCCCTTCTGGATGGTCACTCCCAGTACAATGAGGTCAATCAGCCCTGGCTCACCGGAGGCAGTCATCTGGGCCAGAAACAGGAGAAAGAGGGAGGTGGCATCCACCTGGAGGTGGCCCCACTGGTCGTCGCCCACGACGGTGCTGCAGGTGGCGGTGTCGTACTTGGCATGCAGGCTGTCCTTGGTACTCTGAGTGTGCTTGAACCTCTCCACTTTATTCACCTGAGAAAGCAAGTCGGCTGCTCGCAGCTAAGGGGTTCATGGCTGGCAAAGGTCAATCTCTTGGATCTAGACCTTTTATCTGTTACCTCTGGGAGCCAGTGGGATGGAAGGCAGGGGATGGATGTTCACTAGTGAGCACCACACAGAGAGGCTGTGCGGGGGACTCTTCCTGCCCATCACCAGAAATGTCTGAACCCAGCGCCATTTTAACAAGTTCTGCAGGGCTGAGGGGTCAAGCCGCAGGGTTTCCTTGTCTGATATCTCCAGCATGAGCTGTGACACACAGTAGGAACTCAATGAGAGGGAGGGAGGAGGGGAGGGAGAGGAACCTCCTCTTCCTCTTTAAATTTCCAATCTTGTTTCCTTATGTTGAAAGGGAAAGAGCAATGTCGTCTTTGAAGACTAATGAGGCACGTGCCGATTAAGGGTCGGGACTGTATCATATTTATCTTGGGATCTGTGTAGATCCTAGTATGATGTTCTGTATACAGTACATGCTCAACAAATTGTTTTATTTACCCCTCACTGAAAATATCAATAATATCAATGTCAAGTTTTAAAAACTCAAGCATTTCAACTCAAAAGAAACCCTTTTATAAACTCAACAGAATAAACAACAGTACATGGCTTTCTAGGAGTGGCTTTTAAAAACAACGTTTTCTTCCCTGTTAAAAAAAAAAAAGGGCACATTCTCCTTTTACACAAGTTAACTCTTGAAAAGAGATTCTGAGAAAGTATTCTTTGACTCTGGTTCTATAGCATAATAAAATTATTGAAGATAATTTTAAAAGGAGAAAGTAAGCAAAATATTTTCAATTTCTCTTCATCTTGAGAAGAAAAGTTCAGAACACTTTAAGAGTGTTAGTTGTCACCATGAATATGAAGTGCGCACTCAGATGACCCAAAAATACATCTGTCGTTTTCCACTTACCTGTCTCATCATGCACTGGAGAAGACCCCGCATCAGTTTCACCACGTTCTACGGACATAAAATGGAATCAGTAATAAGGCCAGCTTCCCTGCTCCATGAAAACAACCTCCTGACCACATGGCTGGTAAGCCAGTGCTGCCTGGAGCCTTTCCCGAGAAGGCATATACATGCATTCTGATTGTTTGGGTTATTTCTATCCACTGCATCACAAAGAAATTCTTGACAAAGTGACTTATCTCAGATAAAGGAGCTGGACCAGATGGTACCTCCTGGCACTGAAATCCAGTGACTCCTGCTTTTAGCAAGACAATTTTTATAAGCCTAGTACCCTGGAGCTTTATATCACAATTCTTAGTAATTTATTTTTGTTATACTAAGGATGAATTAAGTCCACCACCATGCCTGCCCCAAAATAATGATGCTTTGCCAAAATAGCCATTTGTGACACCATTACTGGACCACCGAGTAAAGTTCTTACAAAATGCAAGTAGCCGCCAACGTTTCTTAATAATATGTATTATTATTATAGATAATATCAATATCACTATGATAATCAGACGTTCTGTCCTGGTATTGTACAAAACACTTTACCTGGATTCCCACTAATTCTTGCAACACCCTTATGAGGTGGGTGTTATTATTTCCCCACTTTATAGATGAGGAACCTGAGGCTGATGAAGCAACATTGCTCAAGTCTCTCCGCTGGCAGGATGGGGAGCAAGGACAGGGCCCAGGTCCTCTGACTCCAGAGTTTGAGCTCCTAGTCAATACATTGTGTTGCCTCCCACTTGCTCCACAATTCAGGCCCACTGAAAGACTGGTCTTAATATGTCCTATTAAAAACTCTATATAACTACTTCACAAGTGGCTGGAGAATGGGATATTTTTAGGTCAAAGTAGCCTGGCTGAAAGAAGTTCCCACCCAGGGCCTTCAGCGTCTCCTCTCTTACAGAATGCACATGGTTTGCAGGGGAAGGCATAGTGAAGGGCCACGAAAGTTAATTGCCAAAGTCTGAAATGGATCACCCTTCAGATTCTTCCATCTCTAAAATCCTAGGAGTCTAGAGTATAATCTCACTTTATGTCATAAACTCTTTTGATGCAGAAAATATTACCTCATAATTAAAAGATATAATTAACAGTTATAATTAACATTTCCTATGGTGTGCAGTGTAAACATTTGCCAATCGACTTCCCCTCAAATAAAGAAAAGTTATTTTCCATTGTGAAGAAGCACAGTGGTTCCCAACTGGTGGTGACATTACCATCCCTGGGGATGGGGGAGCATCTGGAAATGTGGGGTGGAGGCATTTTTATTGTCACCATGATGGGGGTGGGAGCTACAGCCATTTAGTGAGTAAGGACTAAGGACACTATATGTCCTGCAACTCATGGGACAGTCTCACACAATAACAACTGTACTGCCTAAGCCCCAAATGCAATAGTGTCCCTGTTGAGGATCATTGGAAGATCCTGTGTTATTTTCCATAATCAAGGGAGATGTCTTCTTTAGTTATTAACCACACTCAACAAATCAAACAATGTGGCCTATTTGTGCCTCTCTATTGTCAGTCACAGATAGGCAAATCTAGTCTACTCTAACCCAGATCAGAAATTGCTTAGAGGAGAGGTAGTGTGTGTGTGTGTGTGTGTGTGTGTGTGTGTGTATGTGTGTGTGTGTGTGTATGCGCACGCATGCATGTGAGTGTGAATAGACAGGCATGGGTTTACTTGGATTTTGTGTCAGAGGAGGATAGGAAGTTTGGAGGACATGAATGTCAAATTATTACACTGTTAAATGAATGATTCACTTATGTAATAGCCAAGTTCTTAGAGGAGCATTCAGTGCTTGCTGTATGCATTTTCTTTTTTAAAATTAATTAATTAATAAATTAATTATTTTATTTGTTGGCTGCATTGGGTCTTCGTTGCTGTGTGTGGGCTTTCTCTAGTTGTGGCAAGCGGGGGCTACTCATTGTCGTGATGTGCAGGCTTCTCAATGCAGTGGCTTCTCTTGTTGCGGAGCACAGGCTCTAGGCACGTGGGCTGCAGTAGTTGTGGCACGCAGGCTCAGTAGTTGTGGCTCACGGGCCCTAGCGCACAGGCTCAGTAGTTGTGGCACACGGGCTTAGTTGCTCTGCGGCATGTGGGTTCTTCCCAGACTAGGGCTCAAATCCGTGTCCCCTGCATTGGCAGGAGGATTCCTAACCACTGCGCCACCAGGGAAGTCCCTATGTGCATTTTCAATACTACCCATTCTTGCCTTACCTCCAAGACTGGGTGATTTCATTACCTCATACTCAGCATGCCTAGTCAAATCCAGACTGTCCTTTCCTTGCTCACACAGACAGGCTTCCTCTCTTAGCTTCCCTACTGCTGTCAAGGCTGCCGCCACTCATGCCCACTTTGGTTGCTATAAACAATCACCAGTTGGGCCGTAAGAACTCTCCCTGGACCTGACAATCCACTGGCTGTGCCAGCCAATGAGAAATGATGAATCAAAGACAAATCCCAAACGCTCTCATGCCAAGAGCTCTATACTTCTATACATCAATGCTCCTTACTTCAATGCTATTACTCAAAACACTCTGAAAATACTTCCTGTGCTCAGGGGCAGATTATTTTCTTACATACTTAGTGATGGGCAAGTCTTCGCTTTGGTGGGTATGCTGGTTCCTAATTTTGGAAAACAATAAAAGGTCCTCATTGTGCTGTATGGTAACACAGGCACAAAAATTGGACACCACCAATGTGGTTCAAAATTAAAGGGTGACTATAAATTAAAAAGACTGCTTTAGAATGACTCAAACTGAAAGGCATTTTTAAAGGAAATTCCAAACATGTTTTAAGCAGTGGCAATAATGTTTGGATAAATATCCTTTCAACATGATTACTCCAAAGAGTATACACTTTGGAATGTGTAGTTCTGGTGTGCTGACTCTTTAAAAACTATCATATTAGTTTACAATGACATCTTGTATATAAGTATGTATAAAATTGACAGAGCACGTGTGAGAGAAATGTAGCTAGTTAGAAATTTGGATGTCTATTCAGTGCGATTTTTTGTTGTTTTTTTATGGAGGGAAAAATCGCAAAAGGAGAGACACATGAGAGGCTGAGACCACCAAAGTGCCTCCCCAAAATATACTATAGCAGAAATGGAGGAGAAGCCTGTACCAGACTGTTTTGCACACACAGCTACCTCCTTGTAGGCTTTTCAGTTCAAGGAAAAGGTGCTGAGCGGCCAAGCCACGGCTGCCAGTCAGCCTTACCTGCTCCAACTCGTAGGCCTTGGCTTTGTCCTCATCGCGGTCAGCATTCTTGCGGTAGGCCATGCCCAGGCCCCACACAGCCAGGATGCTGTAGATGTTATCCCGCACCCAGGCGTCCTTCTGCTCGTGACTGGCTGACAGCAGCCCCGTGACGGGATTCTATCAGAGAAGACAAAACGATTCAGCACGGCCTTTCACCTAGCTCCTGGGCAATGAACGCTCACCCTAATCGGGGCACGAGGGCCGGGATGAGAAGTGAAGAGACCCTGCCACCAACAGTGTGATCTTGGGTGAGAAATGACATCACTTTTTCTAGGCTTTGGTTTTCTCATCTGTATAATGAGGATATTAGACTAAAAAAATCTCTGAGGGATCTTCTAACTTGTGAGTACTTGTTCTTTGGCTTTCAGACCAGACCATACTGTTGTAAGTAACGAACAGAAGAAACAGCAAACAGAAAAAGCCTTCAAGGCTTTTACAAATGTGCATTACACAATTAGATCTTCCTCTCCCTTTGTGTTTCCACACCATTTAGTAAAGCACTGAACATGGGAGCAAGAGGCCCCACTCTACCACTCTAGCTCTGTGTGACCGGGGAAGCCACCGACCTTAAAAAGGAGGTGCCGAGCAAGGGGCCATCAGGGGCTTCCCTGGTGGCACAGTGGTTGGGAATCCGCCTGCCAGTGCAGGGGGCATGGGTTCGATCCCTGGTCCGGGAGGATCCCACGTGCTGCGGAGCAACTAAGCCCGTGCGCCACAAATACTGAGCATGCGCTCTAGAGCCCGCGAGCCACAACTACTGAGGCTGCGCGCCTAGAGCCCGTGCTCCACAACAAGAGAAGCCACCGCAATGAGAAGCCTGCACACCGCAACGAAGAGTAGCCCCCGCTCGCCGCAACTAGAGAAAAGCCCAAGCAAAGCAACAAAGACCCAACGCAGCCAAAAATTAATTAATTAATTATTTTTAAAAGGGGGTGGCCATCAGGGTTCCTATGTAGCTATGGTATCACCAGTATTTAAAAGGGCAGCTGAGTCACTAAAAAGCCAGACCTTCACAAAAAGTGTACACAAATGTTCATCACAGCATTATTCATAGTAGCCCAAAAGAGGAAACAACCCAAGTGTCCATCAACTGATAAATGGATAAACAAAATGTGATCCATACGAACAATGAAATATTATTCAGCAATAAAAAGGAATGAAGTACTAATACATGCTACAGCATGGATGAACCTTGAAAACATTACACTAAGAAGTCAGTCACAAAAGTCTACATACTGTATGATTCCAATTGTACAGAATGTCCAGAATAGGAAATCTATAGAGATAGAAAGTAGATTAGTAGTTGTCTAGGGCTGTGGGTAGGAGTGGGATGGGAGGAAATGGGGAGGGAGTGAGTGAGTGAGTGAGTGAGTGACTGCTAACAGGTTTTTTCCTTTCTGGGGGTGATGAAAACGTTCTAAACTTGACTGTGGTTATGATGTACAACTCTGTGAATATGCTAAAACCCATTAAATTGTACATGCTAGATGAATTGTATGGTGAGTAAATTATATCTCAATAAAGCTATTACTTTTTTAAGAATCTAGTCTTAATAAACTCTGTGCCTAGAAATAAAATGGATAAGATAGGAAAAGAGTCACATAAAGATAAAGCCTCTGTTGACTTTCCTGAAATTATGCAAAGAAATATGTATCTAATAAAATACATCATAGCAATCAGAACCCTGCCAGCTTAAATTATTATTCAAAAGGGTACCAAATTATTTACAAGAGGGCTCATTAAAAAACGCTGCTGGGTACTTTCAAAGTGATACTGCCAAGGTTACTGGGTAAAAAAAATATTGGCATAGTTTCAGATGATCCCACCTAAGGAATTAAATATTTAACTTCCTCTTTAATCTATGCCCTCTTCAAAAACATCTAAAACGCAACTGATGGGCCTTCAGGGGCAGCAGCATTCAGTGTATTGACACTGTTCTACAGCCAACAACTACAGATCAATGATATTAAAGTCAACCAGAAGTGAAGTCTAGGAATGGCTGAGGGACGGTGTGAGTCATTCCAATAGTGGACTATTGGAGTTCTTTTTTAAAAAATCACTATGCACCAACAAGGTATAGCATAAGCATCTTTATCTGTTCTGGGTCCTGTTGGATAAACTCAGGGCAGGAAACCATCAGGAGGTGCACAGAAAGAACTCAGCCCCTTCCTGGCGTACCCATCAACCGTGAGTCCACTGAGACAAACAGCCTTCCAATGACACAGCAGTGACTGCTTACACAGCGCCAAGTGTGGTTTGGATTATGAAATGTCACTGTTAACTGAAAGTCACCTCTTTGGTTCTTTAGTTTGGGTTTAACTATAAGTGGATTAGTTCATCCCCACCCAGAGCTAAACTGTCTCAGCCTCATTCCACTACAGAGAAGCAGTCTGGGTGTTTCAGGGGATTCCCATATTCAAAACTGCATACACAAGCCATGTTAAATTAGAGTGCTGCTGCACTCAGCAAAAGGAATACCTACTATTATGAACTGAAAGCCTGTGTCTCCCCAAAATTCATACGTTGAAATCTAATTCCCAATGTGACAGTATTTGAAAGTGGGGCCTTTGGGAGATAATCAGGTCATGTGGGCAGAGCTCTCATGAAGGGGATTAGCGCCCTTATAGGAAGAGGAGGGGGCAGCTACGAGGAGAGCTACAAAGAGTCAACGGTAGTGTCCCAATGCAGTATTAGAGGAGGTAGCACAGACCTGCACTGGGACTCAGCACTCCTGCTGTAGGGGAACTGACAATGACATCCTTAAACTGTAGAAGAAGAGGTCCAGAACAGATGAGCCTAACATAAACCGTGCTTCATCAAGGGCAAGGGGCCAACAGCTGGGCAGTTTCTCTTTTAAATCCAGTCATTTGTCAGCCCCTCTCCAACATTTGTTCATTTCTAATTTAGGGGAAGTGCCTTTCCTGGCTCCTGTTTATGGGAAAAAAGGGTAGGACCCTAAGGCTTAGAATGGACTGGGCCCAGGGCTTGGCCCCTATACTGTCATAACAACACTAAAATCTTGGTGGCTTATATTTCTCGCCCATGTCTTGTGTCCATCCCTTTTCAGCTGTGGTTCTGCTCTGTGTTACCTTCCATCTAGGAACCAGGCTACTGGGACAGCCTTATGCCCACAACACTGCCCATCTCATGGCAGAGGAGAAGACAGACAGTGAACGATGAGCTGCCTCTTACAGCTGCTGGTTAGAACTGACACATATCACTTCCTCTCACGTCTCATTGTTGAAAGCAAGTCACATGGCCATTCCTAAGTTCCACAGGGTAAGGATGTGGAAGCCTCTCCCAGGAGTGAGAAGCAAATAACTGTGAACAACCATTATGTGAATAATTATTATTACTATTACTTTTCAGGTAGGAAAATTATATTTATTTAAACCAAGGAAAGAAATCACAAGTTATGAATATTAAAAGCTGACCAACATCACAAAATCTGTACCTGCCTTAGACACTTCAGTAATACTTTTTATTTTTGAATTGCTGAATTTTATTTTATTTACTTTTTTATACAGTTTATTTTATACATATTAGTGTATCCGTGTCAATGCCAATCTCCCAATTCATCCCACCACCACCACCACCCCCGCCATTTTCCCCCCTTGGTGTCCATACATTTTTTCTCTACATCTGTGTCTCTATTTCTGCCCTGCAAACGGGTTCATCTGTACCATTTTTCTAGGTTCCACATATATGCGTTAATATACAATATTTGTTTTTCTCTTTCTGACTTACTTCACTCTGTATGCCAGTCTCTAGATCCATCCATTTCTCTACAAATGACCTAATTTCATTCCATTTTATGGCTGAGTAATATTCCATTGTATATATGTACTTTTTTTTAACATCTTTATTGGAGTATAATTGCTTTACAATGGTGTGTTAGTTTCTGCTGTATAACAAAATGAATCAGCTACACATATACATACATCCCCATATCTCCTCTCCTTTGCGTCTCCCTCCCTCCGACCTTCCCTATCCCACCCCTCTAGGTGGTCACCAAGCACCGAGCTGATCTCCCTGTGCTATGCAGCTGCTTCCCACTAGCTATCTATTCTACATTTGGTAGTGTATATATGTCCATGCCACTCTCTCACTTCATCCCAGCTTACCCTTCCCCCTCCCCGTGTCCTCAAGTCCGTTTGCTACGTCTGCATCTTTATTCTTGTCCTGCCCCTAGGTTCTTCATAACCATTTTTTTGATTTCATATATATGTGATAGCATACGGTATTTGTTTTTCTTTCTGACTGACTTCACTCTGTATGACAGACTCTAGGTCCATCCACCTCACTACAAATAACTCAATTTTGTTTCTTTTTATGGCTGAGTAATATTCCACTGTACATATGTGCCACATCTTCTTTACCCATTCACCTGTACATGGACACTTAGGTTGCTTCCATGACCTGGCTACTGTAAACAGTGCTGCAATGAACAGTGCGGTGCATGTATCTTTTTGAATTATGGTTTTCTCTGGGTACATGCCCAGTAGTGGGACTGTTGGATCATATGGTAATTCTATTTTTAGTTCTTTAAGGAACCTCCATACTGTTCTCCAGAGTGGCTGTATCAATTTACATTCCCACCAACAGTGCAAGAGGGTTCCCTTTCTCCACACCCTCTCCAGCATTTGTCGTTTGTAGATTTTCTGATGATGGCCATTCTGACTGGTGTGAGGTGATACCTCATTGTAGTTTTGATTGGCATTTCTCTAATAATTAGTGATGTTGAGCAGCTTTTCACGTGCTTCTTGGCCATCTGTATGTCTTCTTTGGAGAAATGTCTATTTAGGCCTTCTGCCCATTTCTTGATTGGGTTGTTTGTTTTTTTAATATTGAGCTGCATGAGCTGTTTATATATTTTGGAGATTAATCCTTTGTCTGTTGACTTGTTTGCAAATATTTTCTCCCATTCTGAGGGTTGTCTTTTTGTCGTTTGTAGGTTTCTTTTCAAAAGCTTTTAAGTTTCATTAGGTCCCATTTGTTAATTTTTGTTTTTATTTCCATTACTCTAGGAGGTGGATCAAAAAAGATCTTGCTATGATTTATGTCACAGAGTGTTCTTACTATGTTTTCAACTAAGACTTTTAAAGTGTCTGGTCTTA